GAATTAAAATAACGTTCAGAAACAAAATCAACAACTAGCAGTAGCTTAAGATAAGGATGTTTATTAGTACCCTTCCTCTTGAATCACCACAGTGAGAAATTGATAAAAAAGTGCACTAGGGAAATTAGACAAAAAGGTAGATACAATCTCGCATTATCATAATGGATTCTGAAAATGATTTACGAAGGGCAGTTTTTCAATTGACAAAAGTGAACCAAGAATACTCCATGGCAATAACAAAAAGACACATTAGAAAACAAAAGTTACAGCAATACAAAGCAAAGAACAAAGGAGAGCCAAAATTGTAGTAAATGGAAAATAACTGGAACAAGTAAATATGTTCTCATAACTCAAGTATTAGAAGTGTAGTCAACCAAACTTGGGAGGACATAGAAAAGACATACTTAAATAGCTATAATAGAATTTGCAGAACAATTAAAGAGGCACATTAGTAGAGACAGGGACCCAAAAACGACAAGATAAAACCGCTAAACTTAGAATCATGGGTAATGAAAGAAAAAGGCAAGTAAAAACTACAGACAACATATATGAGAATCCTCAGACTTCTTCAGAATCACAACAAATGTCACACTGAGAAATAAGGATATTGGAAAGATACTGTAAAAACAAGATGTAGAATAAATGGAACATTCTCAAAAGAAATGGATGGGTCACTTGAGAAGAAAGAACAAGAGACTGATTTTGAAGTAAAACCAAAGAGTGAGACCACAAAAGAAATGGCAACAACAAGAACACTTCGAAGACTAATAGTTAGCAAGAATACTGCTGGTAGACTAATAGAAGCAGTTTGTAAAACCTAATTTCTAGTTTCTTTCATTATGCACATATACAAGGCAATATTTCTAACCTACCCCCAAAAAAGAAATATGGGCAATCTCACAGAACACATTTTTGACATCTTTTAATTAATTTTTTATTTAGAACATTTAATGGATACTATCTCAATTATCCTACATTATCTGTATACTAATCAATTAGAATATATTAAATAGTAAAAGGAATGAATGCTACGTACTGTGTATCCCTGTGCTACCATGTCATCCCATCCCCTCTCCCTCAATGTGTTCTGCCTCGCCATGCTTCTTTCTTGTCCCACCCTTCGAGTTCCAACCTGTCCCTCCTCACACTGTCCCACCCTGGTCTGTAACGTTTGCTATGATCATCGTTGCATACTCACAGTTGACTTCTTGTTAACAATTTTGATCTCAATTACTACTCAAAGGGTAACATCAATATTACAATGAATCAGAAATCATTTAGTACAAAGTATTATAGATTTAAAAAACATTAATGTATATAGATAATTTTCCTCTCACTTTCCAAAACACTAAAAGAGGGCAAAAAACCTAAACGAGTGCAAACTTAAATTTTATTGCATGGTGTAGGAAAGGGGGTAAAAGTAACATTTACAACATTTCATGCAGACATAACCTTTCACTAGTTTTGAAGTCATGAGTACAAAATTTCATTTACATCAAAATAAAACTGAAAAAATAAACAGTCTTATTTATATAAAAGAAAACGAGAATTTGAAAGAAAGTAGCCTCAATTATGCCCAACAAAATACTCTTCTCTTTAGAGAAAACCACACTAAAATCAGTTTTGCGATTCCTTGACATACAGACAGACAATATTGCAAAAATAATTGAACTGGTTTCTATATTATTAAAACAATCATGCGGTTACAAAAAGGCAGTTTTAATGAAATCACAGACACACCCATTTTATTTATAAACGAGCAATACAATATCAGAAACATTTTTATACCTAGTTACAAAATATACTTTCCATATCCATTAAAAAAGATCCTCCAATCCCACGATCATAATCGGGTGTGTTGTTTTACTGGAATAGTCTTATTTTCTGACCGTTCTAGGAATTCCAACTCCAAAATTTCAATTGTTTAGGTTAAAACATTCTTCTAAAGCTGTAGTTATTTGGAATTAAGGGAGAAGATATCCCCCCATCGCTTATGATTATAATTTTTTGTTATTTACACATGTATAACACATAAACTCACACTTAGCTCCACAGCAATCAATCTAAACAACGCTTTAAGAGCATGTCGATAGCTACAGCCACTAAAATGTTCGAGAGTCCATTAAAAATATTATAGCAGTCTGCTCTGTCTCCAGGTCCCATTTGTTCCCTTAGTTTATTTTGTCCCGACCTCCTCTTTGTCCCATTTTGCCCCCTTATTGAATTTTTCCAACTCTGTTCCCTTGACCCATTGTCTCCCCTTGACTCACGTTGTCCCATTTGTTCCCTTGCCCTCCTTACCCCGCTTTGTTCCCCTTTGTCCTTTTGATCCTTCGCACACTTCAATTATTTCAAAATGGTCCCAAGTCCCTGTACCAACAATTTTTCCAACAGAACATCAAGAGTTATGACAATTCTTAACTCATGAAAGTGTTAAATGTTTATTTTGAATAACGAGAAATAAAAAAAAACAACATTGTATGTAACACAACCTCTATTAGTCATTAAGGACTCTGCCAGTCGGTTAACAGCTCGACTTCGCTATTGCTCTGCCTTGCAGTCAACCTTTCGGCCTTGTCCTTAAAGACTACTCTTGTAACATACGTAACTATTATTTCAGTTAATGTTATAAAAAACAGGAACTTTTTAAATCAGCCTTTTGTGTGATCAATGTCACATTTAAATTCATATGACATGAAAATAACAATGAAAATTGATTCAATAATTTTTAATTTAATAGTGAATTTTTTTATTTTGAATTATTTATTTATAATCTGTATTTATGAATTAAAAAACAACAACAACCTGGTAAGTGTACAAATTTTCCAGTTTTATAAGGTAATAATGTTTTAATAATTTAAATTATTAATTAAATAATTTTTACTTTCTTGTGCCGAAGAAGCAACTTCGTAAGAAGAGAAAGTTGTGTAATGCTGCACGTATAAATAGCTAATCCCTGTTTTGTGGGTCCTTGATACCAAAAAACGATTGGCGGCAAAACGTGTCTGTGAACAATGCTTACAGCTAAATCGTTCAACCTTATTTCTCCAAAATTGATCTGGCTGATGTTGTGGGCCCTTGAATTTGAAATCAATATTTTAATTTTCAGGGGTACTTAACATGATGCCACTGGGACCCTTTCAATATCTTTAAAAAAATTATGCCATTGACTTCAATTCAATTTTGTTGTTGGATAGTCTATAGAACCTTTAAGAGAATGGCGCATGCCTCATGTTGGTTGAAAATTTTGATTTTTGAGAATTGCAAAAATTCAAAAGTTTTTCAGTGTCTTCCCACAACTAAAGTATTTAAAATAGAGACATTTTCCCTCAATAAACTCTGTTCCTTAAAGATAGATTTTGAAATAAGGGCTTATACAATATTGCGATAACTTGAGTATTTTCCATATGATTTTGCTTGAAATAAAGGCAATTTGAAATTTTTGCTTAAACATTTTTTTCTCAAAAACAGCTCCATCATTTTTAATAACATTTAATTTGAAGGAAGTCTGAAGGATGAGTTAAAAAATGGTGCAAGTTTCCTGTTGGTTGATTTTTTGAACATTTTTTTCAGCATCTTCCTACAACTACAATTATGAACATACAATTTTTTTCTTAATGAAATGTGTGTATCAAAATCAGATTTTCAAATATGGTCATGTTGAATTTTTCCAAAATATGAGTATTTTTGGAATAATTGGGCGTAAAAAGTTAGTTGCTTACTCTGAAAGTCCTACACTTCCCGATTGTAATTCTGGACGTGTTTTGAAGCAGTTGGAAGACTCGGGCCATTAGGCCCGCTCTTCCGTCTGACCACGCAAATTTCGCTACGCTCCTTTCACCAACTAGCAGAGGAAGGAGGTATTTCTTGGGTGAGAAACAGGAGATTTTGAATTTAGCTCAGAGGCGTCATTTAGGCATGAGGATCTTTTACATGGAAGTAAATCTACTAACATGGGACAGATGGCTTTACTTCCCCTCCGAAGGAAGGAGTACGATGGATTTTTTCGCCCTTAAAAATCCACGGCTTCGATCGGGTTTGAACCCGCCAACTTGGGTATACCAGTCCGATAGGCTAATTGTAACACCATCGCCGCCGCCAATGCGATGATAGATTAGATGATGAATGTGATGATAAGTTAGAATGTGTATATTATTTCATATTTTATATTTCTTTTTTCGTTTCTTACATTGGAGCTTTCGTTATAAGTTTACAAATTATGGTTTTTAAAACCTATTTCAAATGAATAAGAAATAAAGATTGCTAGTTTTCAGTCCCCCGCTCCCAATTTATGCAGTTTGATGCTATGTAAGTTAAAACTTATATATTATTTCATTTTAATATTTTTTTATTTATATTATATGCATGTTATTTCATTTTAAATTGCGTCTTTAATTGTATTAAATGTGAAAACGGATAGATGAGTGGTCATTGTTGGCTGTTGTTACATATTGTTGAAACGCCGCTGACAACAAAAGGCAATAACGACAGCTACTTTCATATAATCCTTTTATATATTTATCAAATATTAGAATACAATAGTGTATAATAATTAGTATTATATATTTTTCGATCTATTTGTGTACCAACGCTATCAGTACCATATTATTTATTAACTTTTAATTATTTTGCTTTCTCGCATTCTGCTTATTTTTTGTACTAAATGTTTTACAATTTTAAGGGAAAAAAAGAGAGAGAGATAGAGATTAGAGAGAGAGAGAGAGGGAGAGAGAGAGAGGGAGAGAGAGAGAGGGAGAGAGAGAGGGAGAGAGAGAGGAGAGGTGGAATGAGAGAGAGAGAGAGAGATATGTGGTATAAATAGTATTACTTAATCAATACTAATGGCAGAAAGTACGTACTAGTTTAGCACCACTAGTTTGAGTTGCTTTATTTATATTCCCTTCCCCCCCCCCCCCCCAGCACAAACTTTCCATTCTATTTCCATGTTTTCTGTTTTTGCAACAACCCTGACAATGACTATGCATATATACTACTAGTACCTTATGCCCTCCTGGACGATGGGGATTCCGACAACCTCTGCATCGGCACTCAACACAGGCTTTGCTCTCCACATAGCAAGGACAGCGCTGACCGCAGCAAGTCAGTTTCCCAGGGGTGGGAGTGGCGTTGCCACATCGACAGCCTTTGCGTTTGTTCCCAGTACCTGTATTTGTTTTGCCACCACTACTGCAATTACTGCTGCCAGTTGACTTAAATAATGGCACTCTCTGTGATGGTTTCTTAAAGCTCCCTGAGTTCACCTGAGATCACACAATAATGTCAATTATTCTACTTCAATATAAACATTTTATTAAGTTGTCAAAGATATACTCATTTCAATTAATACATACTTTCAAACGCTGTAATGCGAATTAGATAAACAGAAATAGCAAACAAAATACAAGTTAAACACCAAAAAATAAGATATTTGTCTACCTTTACATGGAAACAGTAATACAATTAGAAATAGTACCTAAAACATTCTTAACTGCAATAAAATACTGAAAATTCTCACTCTTGAAATTATTTTTTTAAGAAATTAAGGCAAGCAAAATTGAAACACAACACAAAGCACTCTGCACCTTATTTTTAGAATGGCAATTTTCCCAAGATTACAAATTTCATGTTTTCAATTTCATTTACAAATATAGATATCAAATGCCAAATTAGGCTGAGACAATTGCTGGAAGATCACACATATTCCACAAGAAGGCAACAGTTACAGTATCTTGCACTTACCAGCAAACATAAAACTTTTTTTTTTCCTTTCTGAACTGTCTTGTGTACCTAATGTCAATTGTCTACACTTCATGAGAAGTGGATTTCAAAAATTGTACATTTTATAAGATATTACAATGATCACATCTGCACATTAAACAAAAGAATTTACAATAACTACATAAATTCAAAAAAGATGTTAGTTTATTTGTATTTTTCAGACTCATTGTAACTCGCTATTAAATAATAATGTAACACAAAATCAGTAAATAATCATAGGCTTTTTAAAAAATGGCATTGACGTCTAATAATTTAATATTTATAAGGTGTGAAATAGAGTTTAAAATATGTTTAATCTCTGATCTACACAAAAATAGAGCTAGAACTGAAGGCTATTTCCTCATATTTTTCTCCCAGTGATTGTTACCTGTAATTATTGGCACTCAAAATACTTCTTGCAACTTACAAAATATAAGAGACTACATTGTTGATTGTCTCCTGTTGTCACCAGAACATAAAATTTACTCTTTCTTCTTGTAACAGTGAGATACACAAATGGTTTGTTTTAAATTACCACACAGTAAATTCCTAAAATTATCTCGGCTTTAAGTACAGTGGACTCTTTTTAATTCGAACTCTAAAGGGAACATAAAAAGTTAAATTAACCAACTAATTCTTTTTCAAAAAAAAAAAAAAGATTTTATGCAATTCCTTATACCTATGAAATTAGAATGCACTGGCTCTTACCTTCATAAATCATATTTTACGATTTTCCATGATGAAAAAATTGGTGAAACGAAAATTAGGGAACGCAATGCTTTAAATTACGCTTGTTCAGGAGTTTCTACGAATAATCCACAAATATCACAAATGCATTCCACATTTGTTAGTGCCTTTCAGCACTTAAATTTTGGATTTATTTTCTTGTACTCCTTAATGTCCTGTCTTCGAATTTTCTGAATGTAACCTTTGAAATTTCAAATTAAATATAAATTTTGAACATTCATTTAAATACAAATTTCAAAGGAACAAAATTCCCAAAGTCGAATTAACCAGAGTCCGCTGTATTTCTAAAACAATAAACATTTATATAAAACAGTACAAGGAGCAGCCCCAACTTTTGAGATGTCTTTATAGACAACTCAAATTAACTTTAAAACTTATCAATTTCAACTCCAAGTTGCACCTGCACCTTATCACCTTTAAATATTCAAATTCAAGAATGAATAAAATTGGAGCTGGCAATCCAGCAGAGAAACATAACCTTACTAATTGGTTTTAAGCTAAATGTTTTATTATTCTTTACAATGAAATATAACTTTTTATTTAGACCATCACGGTCAGAAAGCAACTGCAGGATTCTATTGCCATGGATGTGTTGCAACAGTTCTACGTTTTTCTTTCCACAGACTCGGAACTATGACTGACAACACATTAACTCTTACATATTTTCACACACAAGCTTCTGAATTTATAAGATGTAATTAACTTGATTAAAATGGGATTTATAATCCATACATTCCAAATCAATTTCCAATAAACGCATTTCTTAGTTTATGGTAAAAGCATGCAATTACTATTTAATAAGGATGTAATACAGAAGGAATGAATAATTATAGAATATTTTCACTATTCCAAAGCATACCATTGGTAATGTTCCATCAGCAGTACAAGGGTTGCCGTCAACATCTGCTTCAATGTCATTAGCTTTTCTTTTAATTGTTATCTTATTACCATTTCCTGCATACATTACAGAGTATAGTGATGCACCATTTGACACTGTGCGAATCGCCTGAGAATCATTAGGTGATACATTACTGTTATCAGAAGTTCCAAGAGACGCAGTTGCCAAAGCAGTCTGAGTTTGTGTTGAAGTACTGGTGTACACACATGGTAATATACTGTATGCAGACTTTGATAAACCTGCATTGCTCTTGAAATCATCTTTGAAACCCGCACCTTCCTGGATGAGTTCTGTTAGACTAGATGTACCATCAATTGCACTACAATTGTTTGCTGAAGCTGCAGCTGTTACTAGAAGACTTCTATAAATGGCAGTACTAGTCACATACTCACACAGTTTTTTATAACACTGCAATAAGATTCGTAATTGAACATTCTCAACATACTTATCATAATTCTTACACCAACTACACGAGGGTTTCAATTTTTTTCTTCCACCTTTACATGACCGGCACACATGATGTTGACAGTTCGTTTCTGTGGGTGTATATGGTTCGATTAATAAATTACCGCAGACAGTACATGACAAAGACTGTCGTAAATATGGAACTAAGCGATATAAGTCTGTCCACGAAGATGTGTCTTCTACGTCGGCTTGCAATACAAGCCTGCATGTTGACACATAAAGACTGGTAGCGTTCATAGCGAGGAGACAATTTAACCTCCTAACTTTTGGAAGGCGGCAACAAAAACACTAAAACTTGAATAAACCACACACCGATAAAAACGTAACCACTGACTTATCTGCACACCGCACATTCTTAGGCAAAACCCATTATTTCGATCTTTACAAAAGCCGGAATAACATTGTACAGATTGACAACAAAACAATTGAATCCACAACTTCCGCTTACTCCAACCAAGCACGTTCAACAACATCACAAAATAAAATGTATATAAAAGTATTTCCCATATTCAAGAAATTTCCCTTCTCGAAAGTGTGGTAATAGTTGTATAGGAAAAAGTATGATTTTAACTTTTTTATTCAAGTTACGTGATTATATATGAAGTATGTGAATATTAATCCTTTTCTCCAATGCCCATGTTTCACAATGATTCTCAATTCCAAAGGGGAGACCAGGAGACATGCAGAAATTCCCGATTGTTATACCGTGTTAGCACAGTCATTGCGTCCAGTAGCGGTCCAGAATGTGTTTAAAGAATTCCGCAGTATTGATACCCATAAGACCTGTTTATCGGCTGTCTGTACACGGGCCAATTGGACTGCCCAATCGCCAGGACAATGCAATAATGAATGCGTAATTAGATGCGGATTTAATGGTGGGCCGGGCCGGCCTCTCGCTCGGCGCTCACACCAGATTCTCACGTTTTCTGGGTCTCTGATACTGAATAAGAGTTTTTCTTTCGGGTATAATACTTAGTTTATTACTTTGTGACGTAGTGTATTCAAATTTTTTTGTGAGAGGGGGGGGGTCCTTCAACGTTCGCCTAAAGAACATTGGACCCCAAAACGTGCACAGGATTTTCACAAAAATATATATTACCCGATCGATTTGGCAAATAATACGGCCTCTCGAAATTGAAGTAGATAATTTTTTATTTTGGGGATATTTTAAATGAACATTTTCAATGTAGGTCCAAATTCGTTCTCTCTTTCTTTCTTTTTTTGACCCAAAGAGCAAATTGTTACAAAGTTTTTATATTAAAGCGCTTACAACAATTGTGCATGTCGGTTTTCATTGAAACCTCTACATTTTCGGTAATTGCACTCGTACTGTAATGAATCCTGCATATCTCTCCAATCTGTAATAATTTAATTCAATTAGCTGGTATGCATAACATGAATGATGCCAATCGCAATCTTTATATTTTGGTTCTGATGTAAGAGAAAATATATTATTTTTCCTATTGCTGTTGCCCTGCTTTACGCACGTATCAGTGTAATAACATAACAATCTTCTTTTATACCATTATTCTTGAATTGCCAGTTAACATGAATAAGATTTGTTTAATATATATTTTAACACCTGGGTTTGGCATATGGGAGGTCAATACTCACTTTGTCATATGTGGATGGGCCGTCCATGCGGATCAGCATTTGCTGGAAATTTTCTAAACTCAAAGGATTGTTGAATGATTGGAAATTACTGTGAATTAATCATTCTTCTCCTTTTCTGAATAAATTTACATTTTATTGAGAAAAGGAGATCTCATTAAATTTTCTCAATTTACTTACATTTAAATGATAACTGATCAAAATATGAGCCTGTTTAAGTAAATATAAACTTGTTAATGGCTGGACTCTGATCAAATGCATTTTTTCTTTTGTTGCCTTTCATTAATTCATGGCTAAATTATTGTTGTTATAGAAATATCTGGAAATATTCCTGTGCATATGAAAGAATTTGAATTACGGAAAGTAAAATGACAGGCCCAAAAGCCTTTAACAAACAATTTGAAAATTCATCTTAACCAGCCAAATATTTATTTTTTAATTTTGTGACTATTCCCAGGATTTTATCCAAAGAAGTTTCAGAAATAAACATTGTACTGAAAATTGCCGAAACCATCGTGTGAAGTTGAATTTTGTGGCTTTAAACCCTTTGCGAGATCAACACAGTTTTGTGCTCAAATACATCTCGCGATCAAGTTTTTAAAATTAAGCACATTCAAAGTAGTTTTAACTCTAATACAAAGGGGTTTAAATTCAAGTAAATATTACTTCAAGACAGTATCTGCTTTGCTTTGCAGTTTTATCTGTTCATCAATAAAACAAAATCACTGTTTTTCATCTCTTTATTGCTTTGCACTTTCATCAACCAATCTTACTATTAATTGGTTATTTTCTTTGATATTCATACTCATCCACTTTATTAGCTCCATCAGATTTTCTTTTGTCGTAGCTCATTTGAAATATTAAGGTCACCTATTATTATTGTCCATTCCATTGAAACATTCAATAGAACTTAAATAATAAGTGAATATCTTAACATAAAGAGGTGTGTTTTGCATTTCTCACACTATTTATCTATCTCAAAAGGGAGCAATATCTTAACTGGTATTTTTGGTTTTACCAGTTGGTATTGACACGTTCTGAAGAAATGTCGACACTGATTAATCTCTAAATTTGTCTCAAACAGACTCAGCTATTGTTTTATACTTCAGTTAGATCAATTAGTTTTATAGTCAGGTTTTTACCTTGGGAACAATGTTAATTAATAAATTATTAAGACAACAATTCTGTATATAAAATAGTCACAAGGTGTCTCAGATACTGTGTGACTTTTATGGGTCTGTGTGGCCCATTGGACCATAAATAACAAATAAAAACAATTAAGAATGTTTACATCAATTTAATATAAGTACATGAACGTGTTTAAAAGCTTGGCTTAATGAATGTAAGACTTTTCGTGTCCATAAGTATTTTAAGAATTTTGATTTCATGAGACCAATCCAAGACACTTTAATTCATGTTTCAAACCATTTATTAGATAAAAAAAAAACTTTTAATATGAACTCATAATTTATGCCCGTGCACGTGAGTCGAATCATATAGTACCTTACATCAGAAATAAGTTTCTGCAGTAATCTAGAGTGAGGCAAATGTAACAAGACACTTGTTCTCAAAGGGGAGTAGACTGATGACAAGTGAATATAGAGGTGTGTTGCTTGTAACATTGCAACACAGTACAACCACAAAGTTTCTAGAATTTGTGGCTTGCTTCATGAACTGAAAAACCCTATTCTAATTCTAATGTAATTTTTCTAAAAGAAACCTCAGAGTATCAGATTCATTATATATCAGATAAGATTTTTAACCACTAAATGCAATTTTAGACTGGTTGTCACATTTAGTACTGATTCACCTGCTTTCGAAACTAGAGGTACTAAACATCACATACTTTCTCACCCCTTAGTAATGATGTAATAATATTGTGCAGCAATATCTGTCTATATCAACACATCTCAGTCAATGAGCACTGTGAACAAAACTTGCATGCAACATTGGGCGCTGCCAACAATGGGGACAAATTTTATTATGATTTCTTCCTAAAAGCGACATTTTTGCCATAGACGGAACTGTTTTTTATTTTGCATTGTTGTGGTTAAGTCTTGATATGCAATAAGTTTATTTGAATCACTTATCCATATAATCATTTTATTTCTATTTGTACTTTTACAATTATGGTAAACATATTATACTGTGTAGAAAAAATGCTTTCTTCCATATAGTTTTTAAAAAAAAGAGTTTGACAAGGATGATCAATATGAACTTACCTGGAATTGTTCAACAATGCCTGCATAAACCCTGGAATTTCAATATGTGTTTCCATCTCAGAATACATATTTTGTTTAAATTGAAGATGTAATGAACAAATTTATTATGTGCCAAAAGTTGCAGCTTCATAATTATAAGCTTGGTAAAACCAAAGCGCAGAAGCATCATCAAACTTCAGTGGGAATTGTATATTTACGAATAATGCAACAAGGTTTTCTCAATCAATTTTTCATTAAATACCCACAAATGTATCTTAATAGGATTCTTTCCCGTTAATCCTAAGTTTCTATAATCAGCAGGGAGCGGATTTCACTGTTCTACAGTGTAAAGGAGTATTCAAATTACATTTCCCTTAAAAAATATAAATAAGAATTTCTTATCCCATCAGACTTTGTTTCTTCTTAACTGTTTCAAGCTGAAGCAAAGAGAAAAGAACTGGCATATCGCATCCTGTGAAGCAGAAAGAGATGAAAAAAAGGAAATTCTCTTTCTGGATTCGCTAGACGCATTAGGTGCTGCAGTAGGACTATGTGTACAAATTGAAAGAAGAGGAGAAAAAAGAGAGTTGCTAACAGAATTGTAATTTTGCTCTCTCCACCCAAGACATCATATTGGCTTGTCATAGATGATTGTAATTGTATGTGACTCAATAAATATTATTATTATTATAATTTTGCATATCTTTGCCCATTGGCTCAGGGCATAGCGAAGTGAAAATTTTTTATATTAATATTTGGCAGATTTTCCCTGTTGCTGCATATTTGTGTGATTATAAGTGCACATTTAGCATATTTCATTTCAATAGAGATTTATCTCTAAAATGTTTCGTCTTTTCATTTGTGAGTGTTCATTAATTCAAAAGAGCTTGTCACAGTTTGCATATGTTTATCTTCTTTCCTATAGATGAATATTGGTGCACATTTAGGTTCTTGATATATTTTTAAAACCAGACAGAAGAAATTCAACAAGACATACCAGATGAATATTTACTTCAATTATTTCTCCCATGAAGTAAGGTATAAGGTATATTATGTTTGCACATATTTCAGTATTTTGTATATATATATATATATATATATATATATATATATATATATATATATATATATATATATATATATATAATATAAATATATATATATATATATATATATATATATATATATATTACAAACACTATTCTCATAAATTTCATCAAGCAAGGTTTATACTGGAAATGAAATATTAATTTTAATTACATATTAAAGAATTTTTAGGACATAAATTCATATTTCAGTATTTTTTAGGATATAAAAATCCTCTCCCTAATAATCAGTGTCATCAGATGTAAATCTTAATGTGGTTATTTCGATTGGAAGCCTTACAATTTTTGAACTGATCAATATCTAGCAAAATGTTCTCAAAATAGTCTTCACAATGTTCCTCTCCACTGTGTAAGAAGTTAACAAAATAATTTCTTAAAAGATCTCAATAAGTCAGCATTGTTGGATTAATGCAGTTACCTCCTTGTCCAATTTTCCCTCCAAAATTCTCTAAGGCATCCTGAATTAACTTTTTCATTGCAAGTGTTGCAAATTTTTTTGCATTTACAAAAGACCACAATTTTTTCAATGCAGATGTAGCCATTTTCAAGCATGTTAAAAATTCCATCCAATTGGTGATGTATTGTCCGCTTTCTTTCATTATAGTTTTAAATGGTCAAATAACGAATAATCAAGTTTTAATTGATTTCATTCATATTTTAAAATTCTAGCACAAGTCTATTCTGACTATTTTACAGTTTGAATGAATTGAGTAAATAAATAGAACTTATTCATCGTGTCCACAAATTCCACTATCCCAAGTGCATCAGCAGAAAAACTTTTAAAAAGAATGTACATAGTGATTCCAGCTGCAACATACACCTTAAATAATTGAGTTGCATATCTTGTTTTCATATTTTCAAAAGCATTTGAATTTATGTTGCTATATATGTCCAAAACAGTTGTCAAGCTTCCTAGTTCTAAACATTCACATACCTTTAATATAGAGCATAAAACATAAATATTCGAAATGAATGAAAATATTTGCCCAATGGTTTTGTTGCAGTGTTTTAAAGACTTAATTAACAAACATTGCTACCTGTTGTGGTAAGAATTTGTCACATGGTGTGAAAGTGGTCACTGAAAATTCTGTAATGGATTAGCCAAGTTGACTATTTATGTTGAGACTGTTTTAATGTATGGTTTTTACAAATTTGGCTTTCCAGGTGTGTAAGCACTTAGAACGTTGAATTGTACCATGTATGTGCTGTACAATTACTACAGTGTATGTGTATGTGAAATTCACTTCACCCAGAACATTTACAATTAATTATTGAAACTTTGTATAGTAAGTAAATAGGTGGTTTCTTAATTCACCATCTTGTTTTCAACACATGTTTCTGATGAAAGTATTGGCTGACAATCAACATGGTGGAGGAGCTGCCTGCGCTGCCTGTCAGCAAAACCTATTTTGGCATGAGTGAACATACTGGTTGTAGTGGTAATACCTTTATGGGTCTCTTGTGTTCCACATCCCCCCGCTGCATGGACAAAGTGTAACTGCTTGTGTACCTTTTACCAAGTACTGGCATTTATAACATTAGAAACCTACTTCAAATTACTGATACTTTGAAGATATGTTTGTTCCCTTGAAATCATGTTAATAAGTACCGATAATGAATCGTGTTTAATTTCATAAGGCTAATAAAGAATCCTTTGAACTAGGGAATATTAAAACCAGATGGTATGTATGAAATGGTTACCCACAATGATACAAAATATTTGGAAAAGAAAACTTGAATCTGTTGTTGAAAGACACTCTTACATCATAAGTCACTCTTTACAGTAAGCAGTTCTACACTGTGGTCATGCTCAGGTTCAGCATAATTTTCCACAATCCATCTGTTAAAAAAAAATCTTTAAGACTCATTAAAATATAAAATCTTATAATTTTTGATACTGAAATATTAAAAAAAAATTAATTACAACACATACATAATAAACAGACGATAAAATACAAACTTCATTTGCTAGAAGACCAATTGACAACACAAGTCAGGGTGGATACTAGTTTCCTAAAACAAATTTCATTGACTTTTGCAGAGCATTTTTAATATTTTTCACCGGTAAGATTTACAGACCTTTTAAAGAATATATTAACATAAACTTGAAACAAATTTGTCAGCTCCTTGATTTCACTGTGATAAAGCATAAATAAAAAAAAAAAAGACTTAACAAAACTGAGCATAACACAATACTGTACTATATTTTACGAATAATTTCTAGTTTTTATAACCATCTCAAAAATTTCCCAGACTTCAAATGATTCTTCCAATTCCCTAATTTTTCCAGAATGTGACCATCCTGCAAGTACAAAATAAATTTACTGTAAAAGCAACGCGTGTCACACATTTGTTACTTAATTATCTAAGTAATATTACCAATATATTTTTGTTGCTGGTAATAATTATGCAAATTTTAAATCTAAATATGAAAAGGGTTCTATTCTTGATCAATATATGTTCACAAATTTCAAATTGTAATTCTGTTCAAATAATTGAAGTAACATATGCCAACAAAATTTTAAAAAATAACGTCCCTCACAAAAACCCATAATAACCAACAGCATCAGATACTATTTTAAAACATCTATTTTCCAAACCTGCTAATTCTTAAGAAATAGCATTCTGTTAACATATTTATTGCAGTGCCAAAGCTCGCTCAAAAGTACCAGCCTTGGCATAACTTTATTTTAAACCAAGTATATTCATCTCAAACAATGAAACACTAGAAATCTATTAAATTTAATTCCAATAACTTTTAGAACACTTTTGGTTAAATATTTAATTGCTATTAGAGCAAAAGTGAAAGTCGTATTCAAATTCTGAGATTAATACAACACAAGACTGGAAGAAAGCTTGTTTCACAACAAAACCAAATACAGTAGAACCTTGCTAATCTGAACAAAATTCAGGATGTAGGAAAAATAAACAAAATGCTTATTTTTAGTGACAGAAAGAATTTTATAATTATTGCAACATTGAACAACTAATTATTGAAACAAGTTGTCAAAAAGAAACGTTAATCGCACGGGTAACAACCGTATATACCCCACATTTATATATTCACTCTACTTGATGATGCTACGCTATGTTGCATTGTGTCTGGTAATACTATAGATTTATTTGCATTTGCACTGTACATTTTATCAGATAATCTGAACAGACCACACTCCTAATTAGTTAGGATTATCAGGGTTGTACTGTAGTATTAATTTTCATTTTAAGAATATTATGACAATTTAGAAGATCAAACTACACAATATCTATTTTTTTAAAGGTGACAGTATGAGATGTTTGTATTAAATTAAAAAGCAAAATGACAGTTTTAGTGTCAATTTGACTTAAATATACATTGGCTTCCTTATCCACATAGCCATGCGGAATCTGGACTTAATCTACTCTGTGTCTAAAATGTTTGCACACAAGTAAAGCTAAATTGAAGGCTGCCATCTTATGTAATTAAAAAAGTTAGGCAATTTAATTTGCTTCAAAATAATACTTTATATCTTTAAGAATACAAGTCACAAAATACAGTATTGACTGGTTTACATACATTTTATGAAGCACTAATTTTCAACACAATATAGTCAAGCTACTCGCAAAAAAACCCACCCCCCACACACACATACATTTTATATCTCAATTCAGTCTTATTAATTCCATTTTCAATAATTCTCGAGTCATTTGATTGGGAAATATGCAACAACCTCAATCAGATATCAAGTCCATTACTCCCAGTTTTCAGAAAGATAGCAATTACAATAATGACATTAACACATTATTACCTTTTCCCCCTAAAAATCTACAACAGAAAAAAAAAAGAAGAAAAAAAAAAAAAAGAGAGAGAGAGAGAGCAGTTTTTAAAAACACTGTTAAGGCATTTTATTTGAAGTCCTGTACTTCACAGTAATTGAACAACTTTCTGAATGGTGAATAAAAACAAATAAACATAATGATTTAGCGAGATAAGTAACCTAATTAGGAAGATATAACGTGATGTACCATATGAGAAAATAATACTACTAACAGCTTCCATTTCTTTACAATGAGAACTGTGTGTCCTCACTTAATATACACAATTCATTAAGACAGATCACACCTTTCAAATAGTCAATCTAATCTAAAATTTTCTACATATAATAATTCTTCCTCTATCAAAATGTTGTAATGTTCATTCCTGCAATAAATTATCTTGCAAATTCCAAAGAATTTTTTTTTTTAACACAAGAAATTACTTAAATCCAGTTCAACAAAATGTTCTTCCTCAGTCATTAAAAATATCTACATTTCATTCACATTCTAAGTCCCACCAGAAACAAATCTTGTGTTGGACTTCTGTTGAAGACAAACTCCTTTTATTACAGATCTGTAAAATTTAAACTAAAAAGGTGCATCTTAGATTTTTTATATATTAGAAATATACATTTTAATCCTCTGTCAAAACATTTTTCACACACACACACACACACACACACACACACACACATATATATACAGTTCTCATGAACATCCATCATTACAATATTTACAATAAAATTAAAATGTACACAATTTCACACTAGCACTCCACTAATAGTTTTTAAAACTCTTCATCTGTTGTAAAAAATGATAATTCTCTTGGTTTTTTAAAATTGTCTGGAACATTTTCATTGTTACATGCATTTTGTTCTCTGTTGCGACAAGCAGAACTGCATTTACATGCACTTGAACAATGACTATCAACTTTATAGCACCCACACACCTTTGTTGAACAACCTTTTTTGCAACAACATTTGGTTTTTCCATCAGATGTTCGTTTCACTGCCTTTGATCTTTCTCCTTCATCACTTTTTTTAACAATCATGCTTCTTATTCTTTTGAAAACGGGAGTTTTCTGCCAATCAGGATCATCCTCAGAATTGTCATCTTCATCTTCCTCATTCATAGACTCCTCCAGTTCATAAACAAAAGTGTTGTTTATTGCGGGAGGGGCATTCACTTTTTTCTTTTTCTCAATTTTCTTATTATTTATCATAGCTTCAAGTTCTTCAATCCTCTGTTGTCTTTTGCTAGCTTGCTCCAGAATGACATTTATTGAACTAGAATCACTGTCACCACCAGAAAAGTGTTTTAATAAAACAAATATTTTCTCTTCATATTCCTTTTCAAGACGAATGATCTGTGAATGATTCTGTGAAAGTTCTTTTATAGTTCTTTCCTGTTCCTGAATAGTATTATCTTTAGAATTACATTCATGTTGCAATTCTGCCAATTTATTTTCAATAAATGTTTTTTCTCTCTTTGTTTCCACAGCTACATCAAAGAGGTATTTTAGGGCACATTTTGCTTCTGAAGAGGATTGGATGTAATCCCATCGAGTTTTGCTTTTGTTTTCCTGATCAGAATCGAGAATCTTTTGTTGTAAATCAGAAATCTGAGCATTCCTTGCTGCTACGTTTTCTTCCAGTTGTTTTATTTCTTCTTCCACTTCATTTTTTTCATCCACAAGTTTTCCACTATCCAGACTCTTCTTTAGAGCAGTCACCTGTTCAGTTAGCACAGCTCTATCTTCCATGAGTTGTTCTAAAGTTTTTTCAGCATACATTATACTATATATAATTTCTAGTTCTTGGGCTAGCCATGTCTGAACTTTCATTGCACTACTCATATTTCCACGTCTTTCTTGAGTAGCTTTTTGAAGAGCAAGAGCATCTTTAAGCCTTTTGTTAATGGCAACCGCTTCTTCAACTTTTCTTTTCCACACGTTTTGTTGCTTGGTATGCAACCTTTCCATACGTACCAACTGGTTTTGACGTTTTCGATCTTGATCCCTAAGTTTGGAAAGTTCCCTTTCTCTTTGAAGTTTCCAGTTCCTAAATTTTTCACTTTCAATTTTCATCTGTTTTATTAATTTAACTTTTGTCTGTTTCATGGAAGTTATTTCATTATTTAATTGGGATATTTTTTTCTCTTGTTGTTCCTTCATTCTAATCATTTTATTTTGCTCAGCAATTTTTTTGTTAAGGCAGGTAATTTTTTGTTCAAGCTCAGTAAGTCTCTTCATATGCAACTTATGTTGCTCATTTTCTTTTGGAGCAACAGTTGAATTTTGAATTTCCTGAAGGGAGCGCACTAGTTCTTCTTTCTCCTTCTGAAGAAATTGAACTTGTAACTCCAAATCTTTCACAGCGCTATCATAGTCCGTCTTCAAATTCAAAATCTGATTGGAATTCACAGCAAGTTGAGCCACTAATTCTTCTTTTAAAGCAAGAGCTCTGTTGAGTTCCTTCAGTTCTTTATTTAACTCCACTTGCTGTAACGTATGTGCTTCATGATGTTCAACTTGCAGTTCAATATCAACTGGAATTTTCGAAGTATAAATATTGTCTTCTGTTACACAATTTTGTTCATTATCAGCTGATAACTCATGATTTAAAATCTCTTCTGAACTACGTTTTTGCTCAGCTTGTAAATCTTTAATCTTTTCCTGCAAATCCCGCAAGTGTTTCAACTGCTCCCAAAACTCAGCTGGGCATGTACTTGGGTCCATTGTTTGATTCAAATTGTCCATAGCATTGCCGTATTCAGCTTGTAATTCACATAATTTCACCTTCATACGATCGCGAGCAACTTCTGCAAGAAGAGCTCGCTCAACCAAATTTGTATTTTCTGCAAAGGCATTGTGAAGAGCCTCAGTTAATTTCATATTCTTGCCAGCAAGGTTAGCATTTTCTTCTTCTAGTCGCTTGTGTTCTTCCGGACATTGCGAGTTTCTATCCAAATTCATGAGTTCTAACTGAGCTTCCTGGAGATCTTGTTTTAACTTGGCAATAAGTGCAGCTGTAGGGTCTTGATTAACAACAGGTTTATTTCTAATTCTTCTTGCTCTATCAGCATACCGCAATGTGCTTAGTGTTTCTTCTAAATTGTAATCTGCTGGGCTGACACATGCAATCATTATAGTTAATGAATTGCCTCCAAGAGAATCTTGTAACAATCTTGTCAATCTGCTGTCCCTATATGAAATGTATCCTTTCTGGGATTCATCTCCTAAAGCTGATATAACATTTCCTAATGCAAGAAGGCCTTTATTGATGTTTACACCTTCTTTAAATCTTTCTCCAGTTGCCTTTGTTTTTTTGGGTCTCTCTGAGCCAGCTAAATCCACCAAGTGGAATTTTGAAGTCATACTATTACTCTCATCAGATTTACTCTGTTGCTGAATTGTTATTGTAAAAATAGCATGACTTCGACTCGACTGAGCATTCATCGCTGTTGCACCAGTTGCCCTTCCCATTGAACCACGAACCAAACACTGTGTTGTATCATCAGCGTTGAAAACCGCTACTTCTGTGAGTCCAGGAATTACGATACCCCGAGTATCTTCTCTAATATCCACAGTGGATTTTGATGAACTGAGAAGGTCGAACAACTGCTCTTGATACAGCTCCATAAAACTCACAGAAATTTTGAAATGTCGATCAGTCATTTCTGCTACATTTTTAAATATGTCCTTGACAGCACGAGGAATAACACCTGCATCACTTTCATCACTATACGACGTGCCCATCGAAAAAGTTTTCCCTGATCCTGTCTGTCCATACGCTAAAACTGTCACGTTATATCCTTTAAAAGCATGTTGAACCAAGTCTTTTATAGCAACATCATAAAAATACTCGTTATCATCTTCCGGGTTGAACACGTGGTTAAAAGTGAAACTTTTGTCTGTTCCCTTCACAAAAACTTGAGGTTCGTTAGGGACACATTCAAGGCACATCTGACATCCTTTTTTAATTTCAGAGTCCACTAATGGTCGTATTCGCAACGCAACTTGCACTGAAACGGAATCAGCCATATCTAACACCAATATATACAAACGCAATCACAAACTTCGGGCGACCACAGGTACGCACAGGTACAACTTGAACTTAAGCCCCGTCTCGAACGCGCGACATAGAAAACAACGGCTCGCTAACAACCGCCAGTTTTCAAGCTGGTTTGAACTTGACCAATCGCCGAACCCGGATTTTTTTTATAGTGGGGACAAGTTACTTACTCTTTGCCCGGGAGAGAGCCATGGAACATGAAGGAAATTCAACTCCGGTGTTGGAGACAGTGATCTCAAAACTACCGCAGAGCCCACTGGCTAGAGGAATGGGAGGAATGGTGAGGGCATGGAGAAATTAAGAATTGTAGACAGTAAGTGAAAACCGTGCTAAATGTCAAAAATGGAATTCTGAGATAATTAAGAAAAACTATTTCAAAAGGTCGCGGGACTTGACTAATGCGTAGTCTGGTGGCGACAATTTGAACTCTAAGAATAAGAATTCGTATTACACTGAAAAACGCACTGTGCAATTCTGAGTAAGACAATAAAAGAACATTAATATCCGTAAATATCACAGTTAAAGACCATCACCAAGTCGTACAGTACTGATCATCCATGCATTCTGGTTGAAATGAATGAGAATTTCTGTTGGCCCATTTTACAATGCATTCTGCTTGACACCACCCTTTTCAGCACAAAATGCAAATTTTATATTTTGGCACTTAGCCCGGGTTTCATTTATGCCCTACAATTATTATATTCCTCCATGCACGAGTTTTAGTTTCAGTGGCATTTTTTTAATAGCAATCCATCATAAAAAACTCATTTGTAACTACAATAAAATTATATTCAACTAAAAACTAAATAACCATAGTCCAAGAATGCGACTTTAAGACATTATGTGATGAGAATGCTTCAGTAGTTAAACTTTTGAAACAGGCCTTATTGAAAGAAAAATAACACCATTGTCTTGTTATCAAATACGGAACTCTTCCCTTGCAACAACCGGGACTGATTGAAAATCGAAAAGATCCCTTCGGTACATACAAATAAGTTTCAATGACAGGGTTAAGTTACTTCTTTGGACATAATGTTATACTCTCTGATAGGGTTCTCTCTAGATTTGAATGGGAGAAGAGAAGGGACTAGTTAATACTCTTTATACCTGTCAAACATATGGGAACAAAAGAAACTCAGAAGCTGTCAAAGAAGAATGTTTAATATTTATTGATGGGTGATTTCTTCCATAAAATGTTATCGGTAAATCTGTTTTAATAATCACAATAAAATCATGTAATTCTAACTTTAATTACATTAATTTACTAGTTTCAGATCGAAAATATCAATATCATAAGTGTCATAAAATAGGCAACCTTGCATAAAACTGAAACCTTCTTAAAACGGAATTTTTGTTTAACCTGATCCATTCCGGCTTAGATTTTGCTGTACTTTTCTGCATTTTCATGTTGAAAGAGTCCTATAAAATACCATTTGCTGGGATAAATATTGGAGAAACATCTTAATTTTTCTCTAAAATATAATGAAAGAAACAAGAAAAAATACATATACTTACTAGACTGAACTGTAAATGATGTCGAAAAACCAGTTTCAAAGTTGTGGCTCATACATGAAAACTGTTTAGATTGAATTTTTTTATTGTAAGTTGTTTGTAGCAACATTATATTACATTGATTTGTCTTCTTGCTTTAAAAGATCACCAATGAATGTTGTATGATTTCAAAGCTTTTTTGAAGTCAAATTAATATTTATTTATAACTTTTAAAATAATTTTGTTGTTAGGTTGCAAAATTATAGAGAAGATAGAATGAGTTATGTAACCAGTTTGTCAAAATATAACATTTTCAATTGATTTTATTAATTTTACTAAATAACCCTGAATTTTCCAGTTATATGGAAATTTAGTTTACTTATATATATTTTTGTACTAATATTTACCCCCAAACAAATTTCTTAGAGAAATTTAGAATCTTATTTGAATTTTTTTTTTCTATTATATGCTTTAATAATATCATCTCTGAAAATAAATGTAATCTATTAGCTTAAAAAAATTACTTGTTTGCTAAATCACTGTATTGATGTCAGCATAAATATTACCAAAGAGCACCACAATTAGGCTAATTAATATATTTTATTAAAATATTTTAATGTTTTGAAAGTACATATTTCTTAGTGAATACACACTTGAAGTGTACTGTATTCAGCTATCACATTAAAAATAGACGGTTCCATTGAGTTATCTGCACAAGAAATATTCCATGATATCAGAACAATTTCTAAAATACCATGAAGAAACACATAAAGTAGTACCTTTACATTATCTGTACAATAAAGATTCATACTCCACAAGCATACTGTTCAGAATGGTTCCAGGTAAAACCAGTAATGACAATAATCACATTCTATCAAATTTGCATAATAATTTTTTTTATTGTATGTAATATGTAACAGGATAAGCGAAACAGAATGGCAAAGATGCCTTTTTGAATGTTTAACTTCACATTTACCATAATCTACGTAGCATTTATTTAACATACAATAGACATGATTATGGATGTGATACGCAAGTGATTTGGAGCCTGGAATGCAATATAAATAAGAAGATTGCAAAGAAACAATTTGTTTAAATGGAAGGAATACATTTTGCATTTTCGCAATACTAATATCATGGACTTTGATTTACATGAGAAAGACAAACTTTTATCCCACATTAATAATATTCACATCAAAGAGCTGTCATCTTTTAGGTGTGGTTATGATCAGAAAAAACATGCTTTTTGAAACTCATGTTATTTTGATATTTAAGAGATGCCTCAAGTATAGAGTATAGAGATTACTCTATGCTGAATGACACTCATTAGTAAACGTTCTGTGTGAATTGACACAAAACATACATACATCCTATATTGACATTAATGTCATATCATTTCTAAGATGAGGAAAATTTTAATCATGCAAGTCCAGCAATATATATCACATACATACATTAATGCATATATTTTCAAATTATTTCAAGAATATTACAATATGCTTTGCAATATGTTCTCGAATCAATTTAGCAAAACATTGCTATCTACGATTCAATCATGTTGGTCATAGTGAAAGTGTCTCAATAAAATACTTTAGTAAAAGGAAGAAAATTATTTGTCAACTCGTACACGTTTTTAATATGCTGTAATAAACAAGCTTTGGATATTTCATATTCTGTAAGGGGAATGAATTACTGTAATTTACATAGCAGCTAATGAATCATTGTAAAATTTTGTAGCAAATCTTAGTTTACGCTTTTGTCATAAACACTAGCTCTAATAAAATTTATTTTACAGAGAAACACAAGGCAAGATAATTTGGACATCAAAATTCCTTGGCAATAATTTAAGACGGGCCGCAATACATTTTAAGTATGCAGAATACATCTCACACTTTTTTAATTTTTTTTTATATGAACTACATTTTCAAAAGAGAAAACTGTTGTTTTTTTTAAATGTTTAATAGAAAGTTGGTTTACTTTAAGAGAGAGAGAGAGAGAGAAGGGGAAAAAATTGTAAATAAAAGTAAATTATAATGTAACAATGATGAGTTCAGTTCAAAAGTTTACTTTCTAAAGACCAAAATTCACTAGAAAATGTGGTTGTATACTACAAATTTAGAGGATAAAATAAGAATAATCTTTGTATTAGAAAATGTAAAATTAAGTTTGTTAAAAGTTTTCATATCATGTAGTTACATGAATCTTGCGTATACTGTATTTTTTTGGTATGTGAACAAAGCAACACTATTAAGTTAGCAAAGTGTATTCAAATACCTACACGATTCAATTAATTGTAGTATTTGTTTTATTAAATAAATGTTTTTTTGTTTTGTTTTTTAACGTTTGATGAAAGTAGGCTGTGATGAAATTTGAAACCCTATATATTGAGCTCTACAATATCATGCTGAACTTAAAATGTGCGAGGTAATTCAAAACCTGAGACATGAATGATTCTCAAAGTAGGCAGGCACCACTGGCAAGATGGTACTAACATGGTTTGTTCTTATATCTTGCCTTGTGTTACTGTATGAACTCTTACCATACTTTTACTGCTTTTAAAACTCACATTTAGAAGAAATCAGTAGAATGAATTTAGTAGACACAAATGCTTCAAGGTTGTGAAAAGACAATAGTTTTCCAATGGGAAAAATAAGCACATTAAGGAAAAATGATGCTTCTAAATAAAAGTGGAGATGCTACACATTTATACGAAAGAACATACAAAGAAAGTTACATTTATATTGAGGGGGAAGGAACATCGTTCAATAAGCCAAAAACCAAACTTTTTAAAATTAAAATGTGTGTAGCAAAACATCTATTCATATAAAAAAATTATACAGAATGCCTCTTGAGCAAAGTATGGTTTTTCCATTTACAAAAGTAATTTGCTCACAAAAATTTTATTTATGCCTGCTAATTACAGTACATTAAATCATTTTGAAGAGTACTTTGCAATCTCCATTAATACTGAACTACAATTAACTCAGCAAAACAATTAAGTTCAGTACTTAAGTGATGAACCTTATTTCCATACACAATATGTGCTCAGTATGATGAATTTTATTCAATATTACACACTAACTTCTGTACAATAAGATGAGTGCAACATCACATAAGGAATGTCTGAAAGTATGTAAGAGAGAAACAATACAAACACATAAACAAATAATATACACTTTTTTCAAGTTATAACATCACAACCCTCCTCATACGTATGTATGAATCATGACAACCACTATTTCTAACCATCTCCATAAAATCTTGTCAACAATTAACAGTTTACCAGTGGTAATAAAACCTCTTCTTAACATGTAGAAATGAAATTAAATGGAAGGGAGAGATTAAAGAAAACTCCAACATTTTATGCATCAATCACTTAAAAGTTATGTTTTGATCTCATTGAAAGAAAGAAAGAAAGAAAAAATAAAAAAATAATAAAAAGAGCAGTGAGAGAAGATGCACCAATTGGTGATTGGTATTTATTTTTCCTTTTCACGTTCTCTTAAAAATCTGTTCAATATGATAATTCTTTAAAATTCAAAATGCTTGACACAAAAATAAATGCTCTTTAATTTTTTGTTTACATGAATATCACAAAAATCACACCATTCTCGCAACATACAAAACATTATAGAATATCTTCTTTAAAATATATATTTATGTATTTTATGTATATATATATAAATGTGTAAGTATATCTGAGAGTGTATGTTCAAGGGAATACCACAAGTAGCATATATATATATATATATACATACACACCACTGCCATATATTGTAGGGAATATATGACATTCCCTCACTAAAGTACAACAAAGGTTTTGGGAAAATAGTGTTGCAGTATTCTGTCTCAAATTCTTTATAAACAGAAATGTACAGGAAAGATAAATCTTTGACTGGAATATCAGAGCAACATATACCCTTATTTGTCTATATTTATAAAATTCTAAAAACAAGTGTCCTGCACTTTTCAATTTTCATAAGAGGTCGCCAGTATAATGAACAATTGAATGTTCTTATAAATATAATACAACAGTAATATAATTTTGTTAGCTATATGTAAGCAGTTACACAATGACAATATTTCTGCATATAAATAAAACAAATTTGCTACTCTACACTTCAATACACTGACTTCTTTTTACTTACGCTACTGTCTTTTGTAGGGTCTGTAAACTCATGCGCAATAATCTTGAATCATATTCAATTTTGTCGTTAACGACCTGAGGCACTCTACATCCAATTGGTCCAGCTTACACATAATTTGATATCAACATTTTCAACAATGATTTTTTTCTTTCATTTTCTTGCATTTCGTTGCCTTTTTAAGGACACTAATGAAATACTAAGCACGATTCTTTAGCAACAAATTTATATTTAAAAACATTAATACAACAAGAAAGCCAAATGACCAAATCTGTGACCCAGTAATATACAGCAACAATTTTTTTAATAGTTATGTAAATGCCTTAGGCAGAATGTCATTACTTCATCAGAACGTACAGAAGATAAAATCTTTTATATTTTAACCAGGCCCAAGTTACAGGGTTTGGCCAACTGGATCATAAAATTGCACAATAGAGATTAGCTTAACCAACAGATCAACAGTGAAGCACCAGAGCATATTAAATCACCATATGAATTCCATGCAGGGATACATCTTCACAAATATATAACAGCACATATAATTTCTTCTTATGAAGAAGTAACAAACACAATTATATGTATATATACATATATTAAACAATTATTGTTTATTCAACTACTTTCACATTAGCCTTTTTTTCAACTTTGAAAGAAGGCGTACAATAAAATGTAACTTATATTGTGATTCTCCACAGCATCAGGTATAAGTGATGTCAGTTACAGTTCTTTGATGAATCATCCATAACGAAAGTTTGCTACCACCTAGCCAACTTCACAGCCTTTGAAATCTCTGTTGAGATAGGATGTTAACATGTCGAAACAATTCTCTTGCTCAGGAAAATTGCTTCCCACTTGCACTCTCACTTCACTTGAACCTGCCAGCAGCAATGTTAACTGCTGGTTTCCAGTCAGATTCAAAACTTCTTAAACAATAAAGCTATTCACCAGCTGAGATGCAACTTGACCCGACAGTGATTCCAACTTATTTCCAGAAACCATTAATATTCCTGCTAGTGTCTTTACAAACACAGCAACACAATTGTTTCAGGTTTAAACATCATTAAATAATGTGAGCCATGATTATGGACATAGAAAGACAAGGTACATAAAGATGCTTCATACCAATCAGGAGTATACAGAGTAACTTCTCTGACTGTAACTTGAGTTCCGAGTCTTGAAAGTGGACATTTCATGATCCAATCATTTAGAGCACACCAAACCCTGATATACACACATCAACTGATGGCAAGGAAGGTGCATATTAAGCTCTAAGAAAATACTTACAGACTCGGACGATTGAGAATGTAAGGAGGGATTATTTTCATTTCAACAGAATATGGACGTCTGCTGATCACTTTGCATCATCTTGCTCCATTGGTTCTTCTGATGCCTCACGGGAATGTTCAGGAGTACTGAAAACAATGAATATTAATATAATAATAATAATAATGATAATGATGATGATGATGATGATGATGATCCAATGGCCAAGATTGTGAAGGCAGTACAACAGTGCAGGTTTTAGACCAAAGATTCTCAGGTTCAAGGGTCCAAAGGTCACCTCCGGCAGGGTTGTGTTGTGAGTGTATGTCTAAATGTTTGTGTGTGTCTATTTCATCATTCATCATCATCATCATCATCATCATCATCATCATCATCATCACAATTTCACCCCATCCTCTAGGGCCACCTACCCTAAGGTGTAAAAATAGAATCAGCATTAAAACGCTGATCCCTCCAAAGTAGCGTGCACCTACCCTGATATTCAATACTCAGCCCCGGTGGGACAAACTTATCGCTTGGCTGAGATGATAATGATAATAATGATATTTAAAAAAAGAAGGGGCAAAGGAGTGTGGTATTAACATTGCCTTTAATTCTTTGATTTTGCAATTAATCTGATTTTCTCTGCCTTTAAAGGGATGTTGTATGTTGCCCTTTAAATACTACATCATACATTGGGCTTTCCATTTCTTTCCATACTTTAGCGGAGTCGTATTATCTCCTTTCTCTTCCTTTCCTGAATCCCTTGGTGCATGCAATGCATTGCGAACTGAAGATGGAGACCAATAGGTATAAAAAATGAAGCCTCAGACAAAATGCTCTAGACTATAAACAAGGGAACCACCTATCTGAATATGTATTTTCATCTAAAAATTCACAATAAATGAGCTTGAGATCAGAGGAGGTGATAGTATTTTGATTTAACATCATTCAAACACTTCTTAGAATAATGTAAATAATTAGAATATTAAGCATCATTCATTAGGTGCCAACTAATGTGAGCGATCAGAATGAACTTCATTCACTACCCAAAAGTCTCTAAACAGCTTGTACACACTGAAGTTAATTGAACATAAATATTCAGGAATATTCAACAACAATGAACTGAAGATAACTTGCCCAGTAAAGTCATAATTGTGTCCATTCTTTTCCAGAGACAAATTTCCCACATTTCTCATAGTTTTGTCGTATTTTTAAAAAATGTTCCTGATAAAATTTGAAGAGTATTTCTTTTAAAACAAACCTCTTTTAAAACAAACTATATAAAAAATGAGTTGGTACCATTTGGATAATTAATTTTGAAAATGTTTACAAGTTATCTACTACTTTTGTATCTTTCATGCAAATCTTTGCATCATGAAGGGCTCAGAAACACTTAGTGTGAGATTCACTGAAAGACTTCCTTTTTTTCCTGAATTTTCATGAATGGCCAGCCAACAAAAATTTGGTTACTAATATGCAGGTCAACTGTCAATCCTAACGACACATCTAGGCACACAGCATAGTGCAAACTAATCAACTGCATTCCCTGTTAACAAGTGATTACATCTCTAACAAGACTGTAACTGAAGAAAGTCCCAACAGCCAATATTTCACATTTTAAGAGAACTGCATGATAGGAGTGAAAGAATATTAGACCACCTTTCTTTACTGAATGAGACATTGTAAAGTGTACAAGTTAAACTCAGTAAGTCAAAAAACAGGGTTTTGAAATAAATCAAGTTGAAGATGATTCTGTTAAATTTGTCTTCTCAGTTCCTTTTGCTTTGCAGAAGATAAAAACCCTGCTTGACAACTATTAAATCAATCAACAATGAGAAGAAACAAAAATATGATTTTATTAAAAAATATTCTCAAATAATGGAAATATTAAAATAACAAATGTTTGAAAACAGATCACACAACGTTTCTCATCATGTCAAATCAAATGAGATACTGACGTTACATTTTCCTTTTCTTTTACTAATGCGTAATACATTGAAGTGAAAGTGGAGTTAAAACATTTCTGTGAGTTAGGTTTCAAACACAAGAACAACTTACTGGAGACTGTTTGACTGTTGCTGCATGGAGAGGCTTGCCATTGCTGTAACAGTTTCAGATTCTTCTTTTTCCTTTTGAGAAGCTTCAAGAGCAGACATCATAACCATGTGAGCTGTTCTTTTAATGCAAGGCCAGTGATGCAACTAAAATTAATAAGACACATGAAATCTTTTTTCTCATAATTTGTTGCAACTTAATTCAATTTTATACAACTATTAATTAAATTTTACTCATCACATAAGAATTATTAATTCTATTCTGACTTATCAAAAATACTATAACAGTTTGATAAAACGGTAGTTGATTGTCTGCTTATAAACCAAATTGTGTGAGAAGTATGTTCAAGTAAACATATTTATTTACATACAGTACTTCAAACAAAGGCTTATGTTAATTTTTCTATTTTAAACATAATGTAACATTACAATTTTTGTGAATTGGTCATTAATAAATAATTTCCCCATGTAATGTAATGTTCAATTAACTGAACAGTCTGACGTAGTCCTCACATTTAGATAGAATGTTCACAAAACATCCTGCAACATGCACACACAAGAGAGAATCCTACACACTGATTGTATTTTGTTTCGAACTTTATTAGGAAGAGACAAAGGAAAAGTGAGAGAGGAAAATGTAGAAATATTAAAAAAAAAACAAAAAACAAACAAACAAACAAACTTGAAAACACTTACCTGAATAGCAATTGTCTTCTGAAGTGTGTCAATAGCATTTTGGCATGGTGGTCTGCAAAGTTCTTCTTCACGAAGAGGGCTAGGATCATCACCTAACAGAGCTCGAACACACTCCTGTGCTGAATCACAGATGGAGGGCAAGTCGTATCCTCCTTCAAGAGACAGGATTACCTGGAGAATTGAATACATTTAAAATTGTTCTTTAAGGTCATAAAACAAAAGCAAAACATTCATTTTGCTCACTTTTCCATCTGCTAACTGCAATAATTGCTGTGTCATGTGTCCAAAGCAGGCTGGAGAGACTTTATATCCTCCAAGAGGAGCAGCATGCCCTGCAGCTGCATCAAATCCAGCTGACACAAGAACAATGTCAGGGGCAAACTCCTATTGACAAACAGAAAAATACGTATGGAATAAAACTATTACTTTAGATGACATATAAATCATATTGTAGTTGCACCTGCAAAACTTTTTTTTTACTTTTATGAGAGTATGTTATATCGACTTTAAGAAGCAAGAAATTATCTAGAAATGTTCTTAAAATAGATACCTTATTTGTGTTTTAATCATACCTTAATTGTAAGAAATATAAAGAAATATAAAGGTGTATTAAGATACTATTTTCACAGTACAGACAATCCTGGGAAAACAAAATGAAGTGAACCTTCCCACTCTTTATAGGCTTTAAGAAAGCCTATAACAGAGTAAACAGAAACAAAAATGTGGAAAATACTGGAAGATGAAGAGACAGACATAATAAAAGGAATCTCTATTTTATACACAGGCTCTTAGATATACACAGACTTTTAGAACAACCAGAGGATTGATGCGGGCTATCACCATGACTGTTTAACATTGTTGCAAACCACATTGTGGTTACATAAAAGAAGTTTGCATTAAAAGTGGCTGCATTGAAAAAGTGGAAACAAAAAGTGAAAACCGGTATAAATTTAAACAAAAGACTAATGGTCCAAATAATTCTCTATGCAGACAACATGATCCTAACAATGAAATCAGAAGACGACTTACAGAGGGCAGCAAATTAACTTCATAAAATAGCCCTGACACATGATATGAAAATCTCATCAAATAAGACTAAAGCAATGGATTTCCAAGGCAAAGAAATGAGAAGGGTTGAAATTGTTATAAATGGCAAAATAATAGAACAAGTAGCACAATTTATGTAACTATGAAACATCACTGGACAAAATTCAGAAGATCAATAAAGAAAAATTCAAAAAATATAATGGGGTAAATGGAATAATCAAGAAAAACTTTGAAAGAGATATGACAGCAGAGACAATACTAAGAATACACAACATAACATCTAAGCCTACGTTAACGTACAGATCAGAAATATGGACCCTAAAAAAAAAAGAGACTGTCAGAGATTAGAAGCAACACAAATGAGGTTTTTCCAGCACCTGGTAGGAATTACTCGTTTAGATCGACAAAGAAGCAATGAAATCAGAAAAAAAGTCAAAGCAGAAAATACAGTGGAAGACATTACAGAGAACCAAAGGAGATGGCTTTTACATGTGCGAAGAATGCATTTGGAAAGATTTCCTAAAGCAGTTTTAAAGTATAAGCTCATAGGGTGAAGAAATATAGGAGGACCCAACAAAAGATGGATTGCTCAGGAATATCTCAAAGAATTATCACCAGATCTACTGCCTTTTAACAGGAACAGGCACCAGATCTATTATTCTGCTGTTCATGATGATGATGATGATGATGATGATGATGATGATGATGATGATGATGATGTATTAACTAGTACAATTAAAAGAAAATTAATTATTTGAGAATTGCATCTCTCTTGTATATTGACATTCCCTTCACCCAACTGTTTTTACAGGCACAATGCTGATACACTACATCAAATATAGATCAAACGATGAAACACAAAATAATCCAACAGATAGTGATTACGCAACTTATGTGTGTCTATCTCAACATGAGCCAAATCTTATTCCAACTTATCCCAAAAAACAGTTTAATTTTCTCACCTTTCCTATTGGCATAACAATAGTGCGAAATGCAGCAAGGTACTCAGCATCTCCTATTGGAGGAGCAAGTCCACCAGACCAAGCCACATTGACATTGGTCCCCAGACCATCACCAGCACCACACTGAAAAATTAAGTGTTATATTTTTATCATCACTATTACATTCCTCTTTCTTAGGAAAGAAGATCATTGAACCCGAAAGTTTTTGAGGATTACAATACATAACTTACTTCCATTGGTCCTCCTGTCCCAGGAAAGAAATTTCCATCATCATGACGATGTATGGAAAGGTACAAGACACGAGGATCATCGTAGAACATTTGCTGAGTTCCGTTACCATGGTGTACATCCTGTGAAAGAAATCAATTTAGAAGAGCACAATTATAAAATAAAAGTACAAAACAAATGTCACCAAAAGAGACTTGAATAAATGATGCAAGATAAACTTGACATCAGGAGAAAACATTCCAGATAACAATACAATCTAATGCGAACTATCAAGTACGCTTGAATGGTTAGATGATTCAAGGGTTTGGATTGGGGGGGGGGCTGACATTTTATTAACTTTAATAATTTAATAGTTTTAACACTAGTTACTAAGGATTTTCATTTTTTATAATTAAATTTTACAAAAAACACTCAAATTAATCGAAGAAAAGAAGACATAATACACAAAGTGGCTTGTAACAAATGTTCCAGAGGACAGAAATGAATATTGTAAGAAAAGAAAAGAAACTCAAAAGTATGTTAACAAAACAAAAAATGAAATGTGGCTAAATAACTGTCAAGAAATTAATAACTGTATAGGAAACATGCAAGCTACAATGGAAAATTCTTAAAGAAATGAGAAAGAATAATAAAGACACAGCGAGTTTTATTGTGGTAGAAATAAATGAATGGAGAACATATTACAAACATTTATTAACAGACGATAGACCAGAATTTATTGAACAAACAGGCAACTCAACAAGCCAGAAAAATGATGAAAGTATTGAAAAAATTACCTAAAAAGAAGGATCACAGGAACTTATGAAAATGAAAAATGGTAAAGTGCCAGGTACGGGGAAATGCAGAATTGATCAAGGAAGGTCCATGGATACTGATTGAGATACTTACTCAATTATTTAACAAATGCATGGAAGGTGAGGAAGTTCTTAAGAATGGAAATTGGCAACCACAACCTCTATCTATAAGAAGGGAAATAAACTGGACTGTCATAACTACAGGGGCATAAGTGTTATCTACTCAGTGGCCAGATTATATGGTAGAGTAATAAAGGAAAGAATTGAAATAATTTCTATTCAAAATATTACATTAACTAATAACAACAAACGTACCCAATCAACAATGAGGATCCTTTGCACATCGAGACGTTGTTGCAATTGTCTTGCAGCAATTGCTACAGAATTAAAGAAACAGAAACCCATTGCCTGCGACTGTTCTGCATGATGGCCAGGAGGTCTTACAACAGCAAACCCATTTTTGATTTCTCCAGTAGCAGCTAAAAACAATCAATAAAGAATTAATTATTACCCAAATATATAATGAAATTAGCATAAAGTCTTGTACAAACACATACATTGTTAATGAATGAGAGGAACTTTCATTCCCACTAACATTTTTGAACACTTAAGAAACTACTACAATCATTATCATAATCATCAACACGACTCCTTTGATTTAGAAATAATGTTCCAGTCCTAGTGGGTAGAGAAGCAGCAGTTTTTCATGCATTTAAGTGTTGTTGATGGTGCCAAATTTATGACAGTCTACTTTTGCCCATTTTGCCTTTCAGTCTGCATTCCTTCTGCTATGTTTTCAGTTGTTGTTGTTGTTTTTGTTTTCCCCTTTTCCTTTTTTTCTTTCTTTTCCTTCTTTTTTTTTTCTCATTTCAAATTCTGTCTGTTCTATTTACTTCTAAAAACTACCTTGCAAATTTCATCTACGCTAATATCAAATTTCTTTAATTTTAATTTAATTTCATTTGAGCCAATAATTGATATTTTTCTATTGTGCTTTGACATTGCTTTACATGCGATATTACAAATTCTCACAACTGTTTCTTTTCTCTTATGCCCCAAGTCTCTCTTTATTATTATTATTATTAGAATCAAATAGTAAAATGTAGAATTAAAAGTTTAATAGAGTAAAACTTAGGGGAGTAGTATTAGGAAGGTGGAATCAGGTGTCTAAGGTGTGGAGAGCCAGGAGGCCTGAAAGTTTTAATATTTGATTTTATGAAATTCAAATATTATCATGTGTGATGAATGATTTATGAACTGACACGGCAGTGCAAGTTATATACTCGCTGGACAGAGCTAATGGGGAGGTAGTCCTGGGAAGGTGGGAGTGGGAAGGAAGGGACAGAGACAGATGTGACAGATGTGACTCATGAGAGGTTCTCACAAGTGTCGATTTTTTGGTGTACACCTTTAAGTTGTAAATAAACCAATATTTCAAATTTTATTTTTATACTTAAATAATAAACTTTATTTTTCTGGGTACAGGGAAAACAAAGAAAGAACGCCTCATGTACATCAAAGATGATATGATGGGTGTTGCAATTTGTTTGCTGAGGAAAGCAGCAGTCCCCATTGGACTTTGCAGCAATAGAATTTCAGCGGAACTTTCTCCTTATTGGTAACATTTGAGTCCTACTTCCCAGAAACCAGTAAATTTCAACTTTATCAGAATAGGAAGTTTTCTTAGCAGCCTATCACAAACTTAAAATGTAAATTCCATGTATACTTCATTTGATAGATTGTTTAATAGTAGCCAAATGGCAGTTTGGAACAGTTTCCTGAAGGCAATAAACAGTCTTTTAAAACAAACTTTTTTGAAAACAAGACTGAGAATTAAGAAAATAATATATGAGAACAAGCATGGCTAGATATTGGTTATAGTGAAAGGATTGCTTCTGAAAGAAATGGAAAAGTGTGAAGGACTATCCATAAATTATGTAACGCAAATTGGAGCATTTTGAATTCTCCCTCTCTCCCCTGTAATGTATACTTAAACCCCCAGTAAATAATTACAGCCCCCCCTTGTTTACAATAACAATACCCCATACAATAATAATAATAATAATAATAATAATAATAATAATAATAATAATAAATCCCATTACAATAATTACAGTAATAATAAATGATAAAGCGGTACCAATTGTATTTATTTTGTGTTATATATAAAAATTTGTAATAATGTCAGAATTAGTTGGTGAAGCAAACTGTTCCTAACAATAAGATTGGGGACAATTTTTGAATGAAGAAAAGGCTCGTAGGCAAGAAAATATCTGACAAGCCATGCATATGCTATCGTGGATGAGCCATAAGCCCTCAAATACCGTTCCCCCCTCTATAGCATTTTGTAATTTATGAATGAATCCCTGGCATTGGCCCAAGCATACATGACTTTCTGGAACTGGTGGGCACACACACTGCCCATGCTGAAAACATCTTTCCCATTCTCTGACACTTATCCCTACTCCTCAGAACCTAGGTTGGGATTCGTAGTATTCCAACATAGGTGAAGGAAAAGAGGCAGTGTGCATCATTGCAGTAGCAGACAGCCAGCTCAGCTCAGTTCAGTGCTACGGTAACCCTCTGTCTCCACATGGCAATCCACCACAGAGAGCAAAATCCCTTGATGTTAGGTATGGGTTCCCATAAAGAGAAGTGAAAGGTCCATGTGGGAACTAGAAGACAATTTTTTAGGGGTTAAAAATTAAAGAAGACTTCTTGTATGTTTTAAATAATTTTCTTCATATTGTTCCAAGAGTTCAATTATACTTGTTAAAACTAAATTAATTTAAACAAATCAGTGTATTGTTTTTTCTTTTGCCTATTGTTATGTAATTACCTATGCCTGTGTAGATAGTAAAAACACAACTATCTTTCCAAATATTCTGGTGTACACCACACAAAGGAAAATAAAAAAGAAATTATTTAAAAGCCAAAATTCTCAAGGTAAAACATTTTTGAGACAATAATAATGAATCTTTTTTTGTTGAATCATTCTAGTGCTACAAGTTAATATAAAGTACAATTGTGCTTTAAATTTAGCACAATATTTAAAGGTGTAAGATTAAAGAAAAGCATATTTCTGGATGTTTTTGTGCAAATTTATCCATTAAGATAATCAAGACCAGATTTTACTAGTACCAGATTATTGTTCTAAGTGAGTAAAATGTGATATTCAGCATTGGAATCAATAGTACATCCAGAATGAAAGGGAAAAAAGAAGTAACAACTACCATTTGTTTTTATCTTCTGGTACAATTTTAACTATAATACATTTCTTTGGATACCCAAACAACAAATAAGAAGAAAGTCAAGAAAATTAATCTTCCGTATTAAATTTATTTCACAACTTACATTTAAGAAACAAACTTTATCACTTCTAAATTTGGCAATTGAGCATATATATTATTTGATAATGCACAGTAACAATAAGGCTGAGTTTGATAGTTAAGTCATCCTTATTTTTCTTGCCTACCTTTGAGAGCCAGCTCCACCACACAGCCTACTGCCATGCGAGCTGCAGGCGCGGTATGCAAATCATTCCAAGTGGTGTCAGAATCCACTCCAATGCCTCCACAGGGTAAACGAACAAAACTTTTTAGAGGTAAATGTGCCAACTTCTGTCTATTGAGTGGATTGGTGCCTAAAAACAATAATTCCTATGTTAGAGGATGCCAAGTAACGCATTTGAAATGAAAAAAAAATTATATATTTCTTAGGTAGTTTTTATTTGCCAAACCAGACAAGAATTTTATGGATGAATTAATAATTTTCTAGTTTCCTACATCACTTGCACGTGTTCAAATGGCAATAGTCATTGTTTAATTCAACAGATTTGTTAATATATACACAACACTGCTTCTCAGCATCTGAAGCTGGAGTATAGTCTACAGCACTGTCTTGCCGCTCATGATCAAACTGTACCACATAAAAATGTTTTTGGATATTGATTGGTTATGTTCTAGTGAACTAATGTTCAAATATATAAAAAGGTTTACAGTTTTCATTTAAAAATGAATATAATTTGAATTTATTTAATTTCACTTACAATGTTTAGAGTGACTCAATGAAAAGGTTAAAGCTTACTGAATATACACCCAAATTCATCCTCTCCCCTCCTACACACACAAAATCTTTAGGTAGGTACACACCAAATAAAAGAGCATAAGCTTCTGAGTGACACGACTGAAGTTCTTCAAGAGTTGCTTTACGAGACCTCACACGTTCACAACGTGTTACAAGACCTGTTTCCACAAGTCTGGCCCACACACTCTGCAATCGTCCCCCGTGTTCAGGGTGACTTGAATTATCACCACAGATGCATGCATGTTTCAGCATCAAGCTATCAAATGCCAAGCCGGTGGTAAAACGATGAGGACCACTGGATGAGACTTTGCCTCCTTCAGACGCAGCTAAAGCCACAAGGGGACTGGAGAGTGCACGAGAGAGTGGTCGTGCAATATGTGATGTTCGAGGACTGAATGCTGACCCTGTTCAATAAGAGATTGATTAAGGTAATCTTAAAATTTATTAAAACATTTTATTATTTCTCTTACAAGCAACTAACAGAGCCAGGAGCATATTTTAATATTGACTTGTTTTGTATTAATTTTATACATATAATTCTTAGAATACTTGAAAAGAGTCGCACTGTCTTAAAACTGAAGAAGGAAGATGTATACCTTCACTAACTTGTAGAGTATGTCGCATCATTAAATCTCTTTGCTGTTGCAAAAATTGTTCTCTGTCCCTTTGTTGTTTGGAAATTTCACTTTCTTCTCCTTTGCGGTCAGTCAGATCAATAACCTGTTTTGACAAAACAGTTAAGAATTATTAGCCAAAGTTTATTAAAAAATATCTATATCACTTTCACAATTAGCTTCAAAATGGATTTTGCTTTCTGGCCTGATACACCACGGTCTAGTGGAAATTGTTCTTTCATCAGAATCTAACTGCATGAATGAATTTAATTGACTGTCTGGGAGACACCAGATACTAGGCACAGGTGTCAACATTTTGGCCTCCGTTCTACAAGGTGTAGAACCCAGGTACTCCAGGTGTAGGCATTTCGCCCTGAGGGAGGTTCCAGAATGGTGGCAGAAAAGTTGGCTCCTATGTTTGGGAAGCAGGATCTCCTGGACAGCCAAGTAAATTTTGACTCAGGCCACAGAAGTCTAGGCTCCCAAACTAATTAAAAGTGACAGCCAGGAGAACGCAATGCCCGTTGTCACATTGTCAATGAAAATGTCTGCTCCAGGTGTAGACAAAGCATATGAACAAACAATTTCCACCAAGACCACAGGCTATCAGTCTAGAATGTAATATCCATAAATAACATTCTAGTTGCGGTTTTGGTTTAAGTTTTTGATAACAGAACATTTTTATCCTAGTTCCGGTTTTGATTCAGAAATGTTTCCAAATGTTTATCATATCTTTTAATTAAATAATTTTGATATAATTGTGCTAAGTAATTTCAATATTTAGAATTTTTTCCCTCCTTTTCCCAAGTGGGGTAAAAAAAATTATGATTTAATATAATTTATTAATTAATTTACTCCATAAAAAAATCTCGGATATCTGTGGTTTACACAATGAGTCACTTCTTTAAACATGAACCCAGCATTAGAAGTTGCCAGAAATTATGAAGATCTGCTAAAATCTGAAATCAGAACTCAAGTGTTTTGCAATTCCAGTTCCAGCAATATATGTAATGAAAGAATATTGGTATTGATTTAGCTCTCACTATTTAAATTGCAACAGTTATGTTTTGGTTTGATGCAGTCATCATTACATACTAGGAATTAAAATCGTATTATTACAGTCAATTTGGTTTCAAGTTCTTATTGAGTATATGAAGTTTCAAACACTGTGTAAGTAATTCAAGAAAAGTAAAACATACTTCAGCAGTATCCTCATTCTCATGGGTTTCATCAAGCATCACACTGGCAGGTTGTCCTCTAGTCCCAGCACGAGTCAAGACTGTCTGACGAATTTGCTATCAATCAAATCAAAATAAATTACACAAAATTCTCACACCTATTTTCAGATCTTGACAACTGCAAAATAAATCTTAAGAATGTTCACCTGCTTAAGGAAATTATGTGCTTGTTGCTGCTGCTGTTGCTCATAGCTATGCTTCTCTTGCTGAATATAATCTTCATGAGTGGTTGCAAGACTGAAACCCCCACTTGCAGCTGTTGAGCCACTGGAACCTGCCAGCATAGGATGGCCCAAAGGCAAAGGAGCAGACTGTGTGCGACCCAAAGGCCTTTTGTTCAGGCGTGCATGTGCCACCTGGGTATCTGTTATGGGTGTGCCAGGGTACACACAAACACCACTTGATGGGCGAGGATGACCCTGCTCGAGAGACTGCATTTGCTTGTGAATATAGCTTGGAGAACTTGGATTACTGTATTCTCCATCTATGACTGAATGACAAATAAGCAGCATGAGATAAGTTAATTCCTCTTGAAGTAGATGAAGAAAATATGCAATTTGCAATAATAAAACAAACACAATGCAATCCTTCAACATTGATATTTCTTACTTAATCAGAAATATTTAAATTTTAAAATGATCTTTCAAATGAAACAGATAATATTGCAGCACTAAGAAATACACAATTTTCACCTGGTAAAGTTGGGTAAAACGGCAAAGTACCAGGCAACATTTGGCCTGTGAGAGGCATGCCAAAACGTGCAGTGAAAGCTGCTCGAACTTCTGCCTCCGATTCTGGAGCCAATTTACCTTCAGACTGTGAAGAATAAGAACAGCTCTTCTTAGAAGCCAGCATTAAATTCTATCATTAACTATCAAGCAATACATCTACCACATGACTGAAATATTCATGAATGAAATTATATTCCGAACCAACTTTTATATACAAAGTATTAAAAGATTAATAAAATTGATATACATTTTAATCTCTAAAGTTGTGTTTCACAAAAAATTTAAGTTAGAAACTAGCAACTTACAGACGAACTTGAATGAACTGGGGGACGACCCAAAGAGATGTTTGGCATGGAAGGACTGCTATACAATGAAAGATCACTTATGGATCCTTGTTGACTACTTGATGCAAGTGGGCCATACGGTGAAACTTCACCTTCCTAAACATGAGATCCAAAAAAGTTAGTGTTCTTGGGGTGTCTTTCCATATCTGCATTTCCATTTAAAGCAACGCAGCATAAGTAGAAACCTACCTCCTGAATAGGAGTGTTGCGACCAGCAGTGGGAGAGGCCTGTGCTGCCACAACACTTGGAGGGGAATTGGGTCCTGAGTCTGGATTACTGCTGGACGTATCTGCTGCAACAATGCAATGTACTTAAAAACATAAAGTCCTTTACTTCAAGTTCCTTTAATTTACATTGAGATATAATGCTCATGCAATTTTAGAACCACACATGCAAGTTACTAATTATTAAATTTAAAGCACACAATGACTTGCCCATGCCACAATATGTTATGCATAATTAGAAGGAAAAAAGATGCAAACTGAAAACTTCACTGAGAGGGACACTATCATTTTCTACAATACTTGCTAAACAAGTTACAAATATATAACTAAGAAATCAATTTTTGTTCTACAAAAATAAGAAATCGTAGTAAAGTAGCAAATGGAAATGAAATATAGCCACTTTTATAATTATTATTTTAATACAAGAAAAACAATGCATTATAGAAATATTTTATATTATTCTTTTATCACTGTGTGATCTGCTGTCTGCCTGAAAATATTCTCATACTTGCAAGTTGTGATTTCCTCTTCAAGTTGGCGAGCACTCTGTCTTTGCGCTTGGCAATAGGGCTGGAGCGCCTCTCTATCACCCTTTGCTTCAGGCGCACCTTGAGCAGGTTGGGCTCGGAGGCTGTGGGGTGGGTGAGATACCAATGTTAACTGGGCCTCACCTCAGATGAGTTTTTTTGGCCATTGTGTAAGTGAGCCCATAGCCAACAGGCAGGTTTTTGCTCTTCTGAATTACTTTTCTATTGTACCAAACGTTTAAATCTTTGTATTTCCCTTTCTGTATAAAATTGCCCGCCTATATGTATCTCCCTTTTATTATAAATTGCCTCAACAAGCAACACAAGGCTACTCAGAAAAGATTCCAAGGAAAAAAGCAAGAAAAATAAAACAAAATATTTGATATGTTTAATACAATAAATTATATTAAACATGTTTTTAATGATAAAATAGACTATTGATTGTAAATGAAGAGTTGTTCTATTGAGATGAGCACTAAATACTTTATCAAGAACCCTGCAAGTTTCATAAATGGCAAATTAAAATTACAATTTTTGGTGATTTTATCCAACACTGAAAAACTTAAAAGTATCTAAAAAATGACAAAAAAATCCTGCATGTCCATTTAATTTTTTCTTTTTTAAAACATGTTCAAGTTGTATGACAAATATAAACAAGAATTATCCACTTGTTCACAATCAGGGCCCTATAATACGAGTTTTTCTGTTAAAAAATCACTACTTTTTGCTGTAGCATTTCAATACTTTCTCTTTACTATGTAAGTACATAGCACACAAGAAATTAAAAAGCAACAGTTAGGCAGATAAGAATACAAAAATTAAGTAGTATTCCAAGAAAAATGTTAATTCAATCATAATTTTAAATTACAATTATAGAAACAATATTGCACACATATGCAAAAACACTAAGTGTTAGTACACATCTTTCGAAAACCAAAGTGATTCTGCTTCTCTTAATGAGATGTACCACATTTATTAATTGTTATGGTTTTCACATCACATAGAAAATAATGTTCATCCAAATTTCTCTTTCTTGATATTGAACATTTCAAAAGTGAGAAAGCCATGAAATGTAATTAATTGTCAACTTGAGAGATACATTATAGATGGCTCAATTCAATCAATAAGTAATCAGAATTACTTGTTGGCCATGGACATCAAACATGCACAAACCAAGCAAATATAAACACACTACATTCAATGAATCAGGCTATTAATTACAAATACAAATATTAAAATACCTGAATATTGCAAGCTTTTAAATTAAATTGTTATTTTGAAATAAGATTATCTACTATAAAAACAAACCACACACACATGTATTTTGGCATACATTACCTGCATATACTTAAATAATTTTCTCTTAATGAACTTTACTAATTTACAATATTTTTGAAATTGTCTTTGAATCAATGATTTAAAAAATATTTTCCATAATGAAAACATTATGGAACCTTTCTGATTATATAATCATGTCAACTGCAAAGTATCAAATATGAAAGTCATTACTTTCCGGACACTCAATAAATTGATTCTAACATATCAATAAGATGAGAATTTTGAATACTTTTTCACATTTGATATTTAACAGTTGACATAATATACAATCATAATGCACTTGGCATCTCTAAAGTCTATTAAATAAAATAAAATTTTAAAAAATCCAAAGTTTGTAAGGCGTATTTTGCATACTATATCATTAACTATTAATGTTCTATGAACCTTAAAAAATCACAGTGATTAAGTGCAAAGGGATACTGTGTACTTAGCCTTCTTTCTAAATAACTCAAGTAAATGGAAGTATGGCAAGAATCGTCAACTAGTATATTCAAGAAACATACCTGTTTTCCTCAAAGGGAAATCCTCGTTGTACTTCCCTAAAATAGGCATGCGATATGGATGAGGTGTGGAGAGACTTGGCTCAGATGGACTGGCATCACTTCCTTGCACTGGTGGTTGTAATACACTCCTGGGAATCAAGAAAATTAAATCTAAGACAATTGGGCAAAAGCAACAAAAATATTATATACGTTACAACATACATTTATTGATGGTAATAGAAAGCCAAATATAAATAGAACTGTCTGAACAATAAGGCATTTAATACACCACAGGAGGAATTCAAAAAGTTGGGAGTGATTGTGTGATAAACAATTGAAACACACAAATCAATGGCCATTAGCCTCCCAAAGTCAAATTACCAGTTGCGAAAAGCTGTGGAGTTCCCTGGGGCACTGAGACTCCCTGCCCCAGCAGCAGCTTGTTGTTCCCGTTGCTTTTTGTTTAACAGGAAACCCTGAGGAGAGTAAACAGAATTATTTTGTGATATATTTGAAGGGAAAAAAAGAAAAAGAAAAAAAAGAAAGCTAAAGCATTAGGTTTAATTGTTTTACTTTATCTCTTAAATTCAAACTTGCTAGAGTTTGATCCAATGTAGATTGTTTTCTTTTTTATTATGTCTGTATTTTCGTCAAACATTTAAGATGTATTGCACAAGAGGCCTTTTTTGCAAGATGTGCAGAGGCTAAATTTACACAAATTAAAATGATCATTGAAGCAATGCTGAAGTGGATAATTTTCTAAACAGCAATATTTTTGTACAATAGTAAACTGAATTGAATTATTGTGCATTACAACATAAAATATAATTGTTTATAAAACATTGTCATGTAGCAGTAAACAAGAGACCTATTGTACCTAATTTCTGCATAACTGTTCAAAAATAAATTTCAATGGGCCAATACCTGGAGTTTTATTTTCACTTCTGTTGATGCAACCGCACTTTCTTGATTTTTGTCTTTCTTCTTGATTGCTTCCAGACGTGCCTTTTCCTGACGTTCTTTCTCTTCCTCCAACTGTTTCTGCTCCCAAACCTACAACAAACAGATTAATGGTTACAACTATTTTAATGAATAATTTGCCAAAATGTATACATTTCTTTAGAAAATAATATATTCAAATAAAGGCCTATGCTCACTGGCTTAAAACTCTTCTTTCTTACAATTACAGCTCTATATTGAAAAAGACAGTTAGATTTATTTATTTATCATCACAATAACAAGTAAAAACCATACTGATGAAAGATGGTGAAAAGGTACAAATTTTATGCATATTTTAACACAATTTTTATTGATAATATATACTTGCACTATGTTTAACAAACGCAGAATTGCAAGAGTCCAGATTCCAAGACATGTTTATTTTTCTCTATGTAGGTTTTTTATGCTAAATATATTGTACGATTGATAACTCATCAAGTAATTAAATAAACATTAAAATTTAATATGGTAATAACAATGTTATAGATGACTTCCTCATAAAAAAGTTAATATCAGGTAATTGTGATGGGAGAGGTAAGGGAGTAGTAGAGGTAACAGCTAAAATTTCAGAGAAAATTACTTATAAATATTTGCAAGAGTTTTATTATGCCACTGTGTTGCTCTTTCCCATTTTTACTGTGCATCCGAACCCAATAACTTTCTATTGAAGAGGGTAACAATAAGCAAATAATTTCTTTGAGAGGTGAGCTTAAGCAGAAGCATTACCTTTATACTTTTACTTAATAATAATAATAATAATAATAATAATAATAATAATAATAATAATAATAATAATAATAATGTCTTTATTAATGGCGAGGCTCAGGCCATACGGCCTGCTCTTCCGCCTAACCACTGAATTTACATACATTTAGAGTAGTAACATTTTAAGAGGGGAGGACAAGCTGTGCATTTAACGTCTGGGAGAACAAATCTAGGGACCATCCCGGCATACGCCTTAAGCGATTGAGTAAACCCAGAAAAACCTCATTCAGGATGGCGGCTTAGTTTACTTAATCATGAAGTTCTGAACTAAAGGCACAATACAAGAGTAAATACTCTCATATTTAGCTGATCATTATTTTGTATCTCTTTCATCATGTAAAACTAATTTTAATCCAGAGCAAATCAATAATTAAATTACTTTTATGTGATCTTAGATGTGTACCTTAAAAGCTACCATACACTTTGTAAGTGTTCTATTGTCCGTTTGCTCCTGTAGATTCCTCGGGCAAACGAATACACTTGGGGCCGGATACTTCCTAGTGGTGGATGGTTGAAGAACAACTTTTGTCGTTTTCTGAGGCAGAAGAAAATAGTTCTCTACAGGGAAGATCATTTTTCTGCCAATGTTGAAAATTTGGTCAAAGAATGAAGTACACAGTTCAATCCATAACACACGGAAATCACTGATGATGGTATAAAATAAATATAAACTAAAAAAAAATGTGGAAGCTTAAACCAAGCATAAACAGAAAATACAACTCAACAGTGAATCTAAATATTTAGATTTTCTGTTAATTAAACTCTATTATTTTATTATTCGACTTATAGCTCAACTATGTAAAGAGCATAAAACCCAATAAAAGATAAATTTGGCTGCTGCAAAATCGATGAGTTTGAGGTCTTTGAAACATTAAACTGGATTAATTAAAATCCAAAACTTTGTTTAGAGGGCTTGGTCAGCCTCTATAATTAAATTCAAAAAATGAAAAATCATTAAACTGTTGACTAATGTGGCAAAGAACAACTGAATAAGAGATGAATTACTTTTTCATCCACAATAAAGATAAGGTTAGGGACACTAACTGGAGTTGAAAAGTGGCTAGAATCATTTTTTGAAAAGATCACCACGACTACAATGAAAACTTGAAACCTTCAGGGCGGGCACTCTTCCCATTTTCATCATGCAATACCCCTTTAGATTGCGCTTTAACATTATTATAGAAAATTATCTCTACCAGAACCAAAAAGATAAAGAAGCCGATCTGGGACATTTTTGAGAACATTTTCAGACAGTAAGAGCATTACGTACAGGAGACACCATTTATTTTCTAAGTGTGAGTAAAAGAGGAGAAAGTGGGACAAAAGTTTTAGAATAAAATTGATGAACCACGTAGGTTCTAAATATGCAGTTGTAGATAAAAATATTTCCTCAAATTATATGTTAATACATATTATAATTTTTTCTGGACTATGTTACACTGGTACTTAACCAAGAAAAGACTGATTTATTCCATAGCACAAAAGCTTACCTTCAGGTGATGTCGTAACTGCTGTTCATGTTGCTCAGCCAGTTGCGCTTGCTGTTGCTGGAAGTGCTGTAGGAGTATTTGCTGTTGTAGCTGCTGTTGCTTCTTCAGCTGCAGACAGTTTTAAGTTTTATTGTATTCACTCTTATATAATACAAGCACATAATTATAAATGGATACGCAGAATCAATTCATTTTCATTTAATGATAATTGACATTAATGTGATTCCGGGAAAAAAATAAAAAATTCTATAAATTTTCCTTTCCATTTCCACATATTTACGTTCATCACCAAAGCCGGCAGCTTTTCAAAACTTCGCGCATTGCGAAAACCAATTTTAAATGAAAAAAACAAACCCATTGTCACATTTGGTGGACCTATGCCCAATATTCGTCAAAGTCGAAACACACTTCTGACACCTTTTATCTCTATCACACTTTTTCTATGACCTGATGATAGTTTGGTGTCAAATTATTTGATCTGTTAAATACCCAAACGTCTTAAGCAACGTCAACTGGCTTGCGCATTTTTGTAATTTCAGAATTGAAAAGAATGAGCCGAAAGTGCAAATACAAGGTGGAGCAACGAGGACGACAGGTTGCAGTACCAATCGAGAAACCCAAGACTAACGGCGGATGATGCAGTGAGCTAAAAGAATAACTAAAACAGACACGATATTAAACTTCCAAAAATTAAAACATCACCCCTGGTACGGCACAGCTAGATCTTAATCTTGCTTTGGTGCTTCCAATTTCACAGTTAGGAGTGGCGCATTCTTCCATCCTTACAGACATCCCGATATTCAAGTAAAATATTGTGTGAATTTCCTCGCCAATTGCACCAGTCTTGACAATTTTTGGAACAGCATAAATAGACCTTAATCCTGACTTGTGTGCTGAGTTAAAACTCATAATATTCTTTAACAATAATTTTAAGGTCTAATTTTCAAGATTTAATTGTTGAGATGATTTAAAATTTTTTCATCTTTTTAATAATAATAATAATAATAATAATAATAATAATAATAACAATAATAATAATAATAATAATATTAATAATAATAATAATAATTTGATCCGTAATACAGCACAAGACATGAAAAGTCAAGATTGTTCATTTTATTTAATATGAATTTGGTACTAAATATAATATGTTAAAATTACTTTATAGTACCTTTTGGATATGATGGGCACTTTCTAAAGAATTGCTCAATAACTTGCCGTATTTTCTTCCGTACAATTCATCTGCAAGTAAGTGTTATACATTATTGTTGATAAATGTTTTTTGTTAAGAGAAAGATCGATAGCTTCGAATTGTTTTTCCTCCATTTCTCCTGGCAAATAATGGAGCGAACAGTTTTTGGTCTCTACGTCTCTGGACGAGTTGAAAATCATTTAAAATGGCATGTTTTTAAAGCTGGAGATTTTAATCTGATTTGTGTCGTCTTCAGATAGAAATTCTCTACAACGACCACTAAAGGTAGTTACACTCAAAATCCCGAACATTCTCTACTTCAAGTCGACACAGAATGCTCGAATAATGTACCTTATTCAAGTGGCTTGACGCTGTAGAAGCAAGGGATTGTTTGTTTTCGTTGTTGTTGGTGGTGTTTTAGGGCTTTTTATGCTCCCCCTTGGAGCAATGTTATGTTTCAACATTGATACATTCGCAGTTGGAATGTGCCGGCAATCAAGGGGAAGAGATTTTGCAAGGAAGTCCAATTTTAAATAGAGTAGGCGGCGTTGACGATCCACTGCCAGACACCGCTAGGGACAGTTGAACAGAAAGACATGCCCCCCTCCCCTGGCGCGCCGGTCTGATTATGCAGGAAAAGCGGACGCGGGTGGTTGGGTCAGCGGCGAAGCCATTGGCGCGGGGCGCGAAGGGCCAGCCACGGGCCGGAGATCGGGGCGTTTTGTCACACTGCGCCTTCGTTCCCCCAGCCGGTCGCAGCCGCCCCTAACACTCATAGGTCACGGGTCGGCCACCCGCAACACTGCTGAAGGTCAGAGGTGGCGCGCGTGGTGCTAAACGGGGGAGGAAGGGAGAGGTCGGAGACACGCAACCGCCTCCACCACCGCCGCCGCAACATTTTCAAGAAGCTCAAGGGTTCAATTTTCCTCCACGCCCTTGAGGAAAGCTACACGATTTAGTTTTCTACTAGTTGCTCTATCGGAATCGTTTTTGTTCGAATAACAGATTTAACTTGGTGGGCAGGGACTTTCCATGTTGAGGGTAGGAAATGGGAACAACTCTTGGTACAACAAATCAGTACTTTGTTAAATCCCAATTCCCTAAATGACGAAATTTCAATTTTTTAGAACAAATTTTACCTATGTTTAATATAAAACTCACATTTCTCTATCTGTCTTACAGGAACAGTCACACATCCACCTCACATCGATTGCATCAATGCTGGAGCGGTCTTGGAGCAGAACAACACTTGGAATTTTATCACCATCGTTCTAAATAAAGTGTGGCGTTCTTGACGCTGAATCACGGTTTATTAAAATACATATTTTAAACGCTGCAACGCATACGAGCGTTTCATACGATTCCGCATTTCCTTTGACCGGTTCCCAGTTATGAGGAGTACACGCTGTTAGTCTCATGTGACATCTCTGCTAGTAGACACTAAGGACTTAAAATCGTCTTATTTAATAATATCATTCACATCATTGGACTTAAAAGAGCAAAATCAATGTAATTTTATTCTCACATTAATATTAAATTGTTTGAGAATACTCCTTTCCCCACACTCCTTGACTAAAGTCTGTCCATCCTAAGAATGATCCTGATGCAAACAAATGCACATGGTGCATACCTCAAGATATCCTCTTGACAACCAATAGTCGATCAGTTTTGCTGGCGTGTGTGTACGTTTAGCGATTGGAAATTCTTGTCAAAATCATGAATTTTGCTCGCTCGAAAGAAAGTTGGAAAATACAATAAGGAGAAAAGAAACTATTGTAAAATCCCGAATACGTTACGGTGAGCCCTGAATTCGACCACTGTGGTACTGGCGCCCTCCTGGTCGATGGTGAAGGCATCGAGTAACAGTGCCCAAGACATTGTTACAGGTCATCCGGTGCTTTATCACCAGAAGACTCGACAAGAACTTCAAACAAAGCTTTCTTTCCACTCGTAGGACTCTGCGGGCCGTGCGAGTACACACGTGAAAATTGTTTTAGTGTTAAAACGCTCCCAAATGAGCTAGCAATGCAGTAAGAGTTGTGACTGGGTAAAGCCGGAGGCGTGTGCCGCAGACGACTCCGGGCGATCGTGAACGCGAGCGCTTTCGACGGAGGAGTCCGGAGTGACCGTGCGCGTGCCGCGGAGGGACACCGAGGGGCCGGTTTCACCACCTTCCATTGTGTGTTTAACGTCGTTGATCTTAGAATCAATCGCGTTTAGTTCGCATGAAGTTATTCAAAACGCGATTACTGGAAGTTAAACTCTCGCGCGGTTAAACGCTCGAGAAGTGACGTTTAAAAAGACCTGTTCATAGGTATCTGCTTCCTCTTCTCGTTTCAGCATTTGTGGTCTCACATCTGTCGCGTAACAATGATCAGAGACCCTCAACTGTATCACGTTGGACGACAATGATCTTTGAGCAAAATCTGATTCGGGATGAAAATGAAAGAATTCTTTTGAGAAATGAATATTTTAAAGAATGCACCGACGATATTTGAGGTTATCAAAATTTTTTATTGTGTTTTGGAAGGTAACGAAGTAAAGATTTAATTTCAGTTTCTTCTTCAAACTAATACAATTAGAATGTCATTTTAGAATGACAGCTTAAATAACACCATATTTCCCATAAATAACATGTTTTCTCTTTCACTAGATAAAAATGAAAATAGGACACTGTAACTTTTCTTTGAAATATTAAAAATAAAATATTTATACAATTTTTGTTATTGCAAATGCTAAGTTTTCCAAAATTTTTACATTACAGAAATTTAAAATCGTCTTTGCACGACTACATTACGGTATTATGCTTCAGGAAATCAAGAGATGATAGGTTCAAAATCTCGTATATCGTCTCTAACCTTCTTGCAAAGGATAACTTGAGGTTTGCATTAATTAAAAATGTCCAATGGAAAAATTTACCGTCCCACAACGCACACCGAAAAGTCTCAATTTTAGCAAAGAGTGTTAAGTTAATCGACTTCACATAATCCGTGGTGAAACAGACCTACGGGCAACCGGGATTATTTAGCGAGATTAATGTTAATCGCGACTAGCGAAAAGCGTGAACGCGTTTAGTGAAACCGGCCCTCGGCTGCTTCGTTTACCTCAAGATCATTCTTAGGCCGGGCAAAGATCGGGCCTTCGCGCTCGCGAGGCGGAGGCGGAGGCGGGCGCGGCGCTGGCGGCCGCGCGCGCGGGGCGGCGCTGCGCCGGGCGCCCACCTGCAGGATCTGCTGCTGGAAGGCCTCGTGGCGCGCGGGGTCCAGCTGCAGCGCGCCCGCCGGGTGGTGGTGGTGATGGTGGTGGTTGTTCAGGTGGTTGATGTCGCTGCCGCCGCGCCGCGTCAGCACCGGGCTGTCGGCCGGCGACTCGCGTGCCATGTCTGCAAGCAGCGTGGGCGATTGCCGTGGCAGCAGGCTAATGCTCGCGCGCAGCGGTCTACGCGGCACTCTTTCAAGGCGCCGATTTCACGAGGACGAAGGTACGTTGTGATATAATGCAGGGGACATCTCTACGAAAGTTTCAACACAAAAATCTATGCGGTTATCTATTCGTGTACTGACACCAACGCATTCATTTTACGAGTATGTAACACAGGCTAACAATATATTTTTAATAGCCAAGATTTTCGTGTTAAATGATCAATCGAGCACTATCACAGCACAATTGATAATGACACACGGACAAAAACTAGACAAAAAGAAAAGGATGGGAGAGAATTGTGTTTAATATCACAGAACGTAGTATCAGAAGAAGACTTAACTAGTTATTTAGAACCGGCTAATCTACAGTGCTCAAAAATCCAAATAATGATAACATTTTCGAGAAACGTAGCAATATTTCAAAGGAGATAAGATACAAAATATTATTATAATGTCGAAGAATAAGAACCGAAATTAAAACCAATGCAATGAACGATTGAAGATCTGTAAAAGGCTTCTACACAAATCTCTTCCCCGATGTACACTAGTATTACTTTATTTATTTTTAAGAAAAGAAGTACATGAAAAACGCGACCTGGGTACTGGAAAGCAATGTAGGTTTAATGACCTCATCTCCTACAAGCGTTCTTATTAGTGGAAGCAGAATGTCACGATGAAATATTCAAGTTCCCAACAAACAGCGCTTTTCATACTATAAATAATGGTCTATTTTTTTCGGACAAATTTGAAAATGTTTCATGAGACAAAACCCCGTTATTTATAGCACATCTGCCACTACTAGACCCGATACAAAGAAAAATTAAACGAAAATGGATAAAACGACCAGGCATGGACAAAATAATTATTTCTAAAAATTAACCGTACCATTTATATGAAAATTATAGTCTGATTAATAATAAATGAATCGGGAGCCAAAAGATATCGTGATAAAGTGGGATCTAATATTGCTATGGTTCAAAACGTATATTTGTTCTTTACTATTTCGTCAGCGTTGAATGAACGTTGGATTGCTTACCTTTCTGCGGCAGGTGGGAAAAGGCTGAAGTAATCTCCAGGGCGCGATAGCCCCCCACGTCTTCTGGAACAGAAAAAAAAGTGCGTCAAAGACAGCTCACGTCTAAAAAGAAATATCAGATAGTGGAAAATGAAACGGAATTTGGACTTCCCTATATAATTTCCAAAGAAACCTAGCATAAAGCTTAAAACCGATGTTCAACTACATTCGTGATTATGTTCACAGTCGTTTTTAAAACATCCCGATACTCTCGTATTGATATATTACATTCAATGACGTGCCAGGATGAGAATGCAATACATTACTGCACTGCGGGTTGCAGCTGCGCGTCTGACAAACATTTAGACTGGAAAATTGAGCGGGGTATAATCTACCTTTAAAAATATTTTAGTACAGGGACTCCAAGGAACTTCACTAATATAGAAATTACCTAACTTGACAAGAATAAGTTTAGTGTATAGATTGGCGAGTTGAAATGCAATATATTTTCTTTATTATTCGTTTATTTGGAGTGTACATCAGTGCGGTCCTGAAGGTTTTGTTAGCCAGCAACTCGATGTGCTATTGGTTTACAAGACGAACAAGAAGTGTGAAGGAATTTTCACGTGATAAATTCGTCAGTGCTTTGTAATACGAGAACTGACGAGTGCCGCTTATTCGCATGCCAGTTTTTCACTCCCTCCTCCTTCACGGCGGTATTGTGCGTATACCAATTTTCTCAAACGGTTTTAATCTAACTTCAGTTTGCATGGCTTCGATTAATACTAAGTTTCATACAATCCTGCAAAGGACGCAAAAGCAAAGGTTAGGTAGATTTTCGATTTAAGTGGCACGAAAAGATACCCGTGAGTGAACAGGAGACTGATTTCATCACAGCTAAACAAAAAACCCGTCTCTTCGTCTAATATATTTCGTCTCCCTTACTGTACAAGTAGAGCTATGTATATTTACAACTTACAAGTCCTAGTGCAACGTTCTATATGAATATACAGTTTTGTATTCTGAACGAATCATGTGCATATTAATTATTTCTTATGAGAAAATTCACTTCGATATATGAGTGTTTTGTATTACAAGTGAGTTTCTAGAATGGATTATGTTTGCAATCCGAGGCCCTATTGTATTGAAATCGACTTTGACAGTCATTTCATGTCTAAACCTCATTAAACAAAAAAAGGAGAGTCTCGTGCAGCTCTATCAGTTCTACGTTATGGAAGACGACGGACAGGACTAGAGAATTCAGGTTATTCTCTATTACATCCTATTGAAATAGTTTTTCATCACGGGAATTATTCTGTAATACGAGGTTATCTTGAGTGTGAAATATGAGAAATAAATTTTTGTGTATAGTTATACCACAGCAATACTAACTTAAACCTTGTGTGAAGGAGGAAGGGAAAAAAAGGAAAAAACTCCCTTTGGAAACAAATGTTTTCACTCCACGCAGAGAGGGCCTAGGCTACTGCGGGTCCAGCGACATTCTAACTCACAGCACAGTCACGCTATCGTACATGCTGTTGCCGTCCTTAGACTAATTTCGGTACCAAGAAATCTGCAATACGGAAGAGGCGCCAAGGAAGGAGTTCCAGAGCATAAGATACCGTATTTTACCATAAAATTATTACATGACATTATTCCTTTTCAATGAGATTTCATCGTTATTATTTAACTTAATAAACCCGAAAAAGTTTGATGTTTTTTTAAACAAATATTAAATTAAAACCACACGGGGCTGACACACTGTTTCGCACACAGTTAAATTACGACTGTATTAATGTTAAATAAATTATTTAAATTGTTTTTCATTAATAGACATGATTATTGGCAGCAGAGGCCTACCTAGTTCCACAGATAAAGCCATAATCACACATCATGAGTTACAAGACAGATTAATGCGTCGTAATTAAGCACGGTCTACGTTGCCGTCGGCCCCAGCCTGGTGGGGCCCTGCCTCCGACCAGAGCTATCGCCTCCCCTTCGATGCTGCGGAGATTAACACGGCAGGCGGGAGCGGGGGGCGGTGGGCAGGGAGAGCGACTCGCGGGGCAGCTCGCGCCTGCGCAGTCGATGCGCCCTTGACCGCGCACGCCACCCGCCCATCCATCACGGCCGCGACCTTGGGAGCTCCCGCTCCCGCTCCCGCGACTTGCGCTCCCCCAATCTCGGAGAGCAGCGCAGGGCCGGAGGGGCGGGGCGGTGCGGGGCGGGTCGGGTCGACACGTGGCGCAGAGGTGGGCGGGGCGGGGCGGGGCGGAGGGTTCGCAGCGCGGGAAGCGCATGCGGCACGACAGGCGCCACCGCATGGACGCGGCCACGCTGCCGCGCCGGAGGGGGGCCGCGATTGCGAAGCGAAACCTCAACGGCACCAAGCAAGGAGCGTTCAAACGAACGAGACGTCCCGACACGGATTATAATCATTCCACCGCACACCTACAGCAATTGCACTTTACAACCAACGAAATATTCGTGTATACTTGTGCGTACATGCTGAGCTGAAATGCCAGCTACATCCAATCGATTTACCACAGGAATTATTTCAAGGATTGCAACAGCGAATTGATTTTCACAAGCAAACATGCATTCTCCACACCGCAAGTTGGCGAAGAATCACGAGACCATAAAGAAAGCACAACTCCATCCTTGAATACGTCAATAATACAATAAGGGATTGATAACCTTGGATAACACTTCTAATTTATTTGTATTTCATCCTCCGGAAAATAACTTAGCTAAAAAAAATCAATTTACAAGAAGTTGTAATAAACATGACTGTTTATCTTTAACCCTACATTTAAAGTTGAATTTATTTTAAATATTTTAATGACCTTTAAAAACGTCTCATTGTTGGTTGCAACAATGAACTTTTTAACTTACTACATTACAAAAATAAATGACAAAATTCATACAAAATCGTAACTTCCACTTCGTTTCTAGTTTACGCCCTCAAAATTCTTCAGCCCCTTCTACTCCTTTGCTACCGCTACCGCTACTGCGATATCGGAAGCACAGCGAGCGCGTGACCTTCGGCGCAGCCACTGACACGCCGTGGCCTTGAGCAACTACCTGGGAAGCTAGCAGTATTTGACACCGTCGAAAAAATGTAAATAAACAGCCAACACGGTAAAGAGATCACCAGAAATTTACACAGCGCGGTGGGACACCTAAACGTAGTTTTTTGATGACACCAAAATGCATGCATTAGAGATATCACTTCGGAGATAATTATGAAATGAACCGTTTAAAAAGACGAAGTTTGCTGGCGAATAGTTTTCGGTGTGCTTTGAAAATGTGTGATTTTAAAACACTCCTAAACAAAGCAATGATGAGGGTCAATGACACTAGTAATGGAAGATTATTAGAAATGTTTTTTGATGCTTGAATGAGCTTTTCCATAATATTTAATGAACAAGTTTTCCTCAGTTCTACAAAAGTGCGCATATGTGAAAAGGCACGATAGCTACCTTTAGTAGCAGATTTGTAACACATTTTCAAACACATTCTAGAAGTTGCAGGAACACTCACCATATCCTGGAACTTCTGTTGATCCGCGCAAAAATACTGATGTTACAAGGCTTTTCGGAATCTGGTGACAGCAGGATACAAACCGGATATTGTTATTCGGATTTTGGGAGAGAATTCATGTTCACAGGTTCGATGTTGTACCAAATGATTACATAACTAATAGACAAACGTCTTAAATTCCAGAGTACAAGAGTACAGAAACAGGAATCAGCCGGATATGGGCGATAAAAACCCAGGTCGAACGGACGGGGATTCGGGGGTCTGGAATTCGTTCCGCAAAATGAGTAAGAACTTCTCCAAAATATGTAAGAACTTCTCCAGTCATTCAACAGACTGCGGAGTGCAAGCCATCGCGTTAGCGGGAACTATCTATAATTTGCGCAAAATATTGTAGGGGAACACACAGTGAATGGATCTACTGTTAAGGAAACTGGTTGTAACCTAGAGTAGAGTTTATATTTAACCAACACCTAACATAATCAGTAGTGAATTAAGAGGTAATAGTAATCTTAGTAATAATAACAATAATATCAATTAATGATAACATCTACGATGTTATCATGATAACGACCAGTTGCAGCAGTGCCGACGCCATTGCAAACGGGCAGTGCGGTTGTTTGGCGGTGCCCTTCAAGTGTTCTTTTGCCCTTCTCTGGAGGGCGTGACTCATTCGCCCCGCCCGCTCCGCAAGGCCACCACCACTTCCGCGCCCGGGCAATCTCAAACTCGGCGGCACCAGGGGTAAGGTAGTGGAAGCAGAAGAGGAGGAGGGGAGGGGTGCGGGGAGAACGCTATCGGACCGGCTGAGTCAGAGGACTGGCCGAAACGCGGCGCCCAGCGCCCTGCGCGCGCATACTCCCCCCCCCCACTCCCTGCCGCAGCACGTGGAACTGGGGAGGGGAGGGGCGGGGGCGGACCAACCAGAGCCGCCACAAGGTCATCGGGTACCGTGACCTCGCTTCGCCGCCGCTGGGTTGCGTAATAGCGCACCGCAGGTGCAGCGCCCGGCCAAGCCGCCACGCCGGCGGCTCCAAGGCACTTGTCAAGGGGGCGTCAGCGAGCCAAGGTCAATGAAAGGTAAACATTTACTTTACTCAGTTCCTTGCAACACTTGTTTTGGTATTTCGGAAATATTATCATAAATCTACGATGCCACATTTCTCGCATTGGCGAATTTAGATAAAAGATATTCACCCCTGCACGGACAAAACAATTAAATGTAATAGCTTTTAAACTATACATAGTAAATGCTGTACAGGCCATACGTAAAACTTGAAAAATTAAACGTATATTTTTAATCCCATGAGTTCTTCAAAAAAGGGAACTAATCGCAAGAAGGAATATTGGATATCGATTTTCACTCTCGTTTGTGAACTATTTACTCCACGCAGGCGTCCTTTCGGTTCTTACGCAGGGGCGGCGTTACAGGTTTTTTTTAGAACAAATTTAGTTGGAAGCGAAATGGGATAGCACGGTCTCTTCCGCAGGGGAGGCGAGGTTTTGATTCGTCGTCGCATTCTCCTCTCCGACTACTTGTTTTCTCACCGCTGTCCAACTCTCTACCTGAACCGTTTTAGTTCGTGGCTTCCAAGCAATGTGCATCGCAACATCGAGGATTCAGATTTTTTTATAGACCACAGAAATTTATCGACGGCGAACCGACAGACCGCTGTGATGTGCCATCGAATTTCCTCGCCGTTGCCTCAGCCACCTCTGGCTTTCCGCCGGCGCGCCGCAGCGGTAGGCGCGGGCGCGGGCGCGGGCGCGGGCGCTCGCCCCTGCAAAAAATGGGCTCGGCCGTTTTACGACGAGGGCCTTACTTTTATTCTAAGCTATTTTCATCGCGCAAGCATTCTTGCCGTTTTTCACGGCACACTTAATCGCCGAAGGTAGGTCCCCCAACAACTTTACAATAACATAGGGGTCAATCTATTTTCAGTCTGCCCTGAGAATTCCTCAAATAGCAGTGTAAATACCTACAAACACGTTCGTCATAGCAAATGTTTCGTCATAGGAACTAAAATTGTTCAAGAGCATCCACTAGGGATAACAGAAAACGAACAAACAGATGAAGAATGCACAAACAAGGAAAATTACTTTATGCCATGTCGAACAATTATTTCATACAACACTGAATTAATAATTAATTCCAGCGTATCAAAACGTTTTTACAGATGGGTTGAAAGCGATTTTAATATATAGGCAATTGTAGACCATCCGTAACTTGCACTCAGTTAAAACACGCGGCAACACTTCTCAGTATTATCTGAATAAAATCTTGTCATTGTATGGACGATTGATGTATCAGAGAGTTCTGTGGATCGACCAGGTGAAAAAACTAATACAAAAACGCACTAACGTTGTCATTTCCCGCAGAAACACATTCCGGAGGCAGCCAACGCATGGCACCGCGTTCTGGTGCTGGCGCGGGGAGGCGCACTGAGTAGGGCGACTGAGTCACGGTCAAATCAGGGAATCCCCGGGAGGGCGGGTGCGCGGGTGGGCGGGGCGCTTGGCAGCGACCGGCCTGTTGAATTGCGCTGCGCCTCTCGCAGGGCCGCGCCGCGCCGCGTCCAAGAGGTCCGGGGCGCGGGAGGGCTCGGGCCCCGGCCGCTGACTCAGCCATTCAGAAAACGCCGCTGCGGCTGGAGGATTCATCGGGCGAGCGGCGGCAGCGCCACCCGAACGCGGACCTTTGCTTGAAGCGAATGCGGCGCTGCGAGAAGCACGGGAACTTCTCGCCAAGGCAGCACAAATGCACGAATTGGGGTCCGGCTGCTCGCGGTGGTCTACGTGTGAGTCTCGTCTTTCACTTGACTAGAGCCGATCGCATCCCTGCTCCTCCCCCTCACCCGTCGGGTTGACCTGACGGGCAGCGAGCCACGGCTGTGACCCGTGGATAAAGGAACACCATGTGCGCAGCCCCTGAGCAACCGTTGTCTATGCATTGTAACTCGGAGGGTTAACACCGCGCGTAACGAGTATAGAGAGGCCACACATGCAGTTTCGTAGAATAGAAGGTCCTCGGCTCGAGGCTGCCAAAGGTGGATTTTTACTACAGGAGTAGTAGCAGTCTTATTTGTCGTTTTCGTTGATCTTCATGTCTTCCGATCTGAAAAGACTACGGGAGTACTGGGAGTATGTGGATGGCACAACCCTTGGACGTTAAGAACGCTGGAGAGAAAGAAATAACGAAAGGAAGGAAAAAAGGAAGAAAAACAACAAAAAGACAGAGAGAAGATAAAAGTAAAAGAAAGAAAGGTTAGGAAATCACACACGCTAAAATAGTAGAACCGTCACAGCCTAATCGCCTGTACTTTCGGCAATGAATCACAGCAGAGGTTCACCGAACTGAATCTTTATTATCATTCCCAATTTAGAAGTCTTTTCTGGCCGACCTGAGCTTAATTGTTTGATGGAGGAAGGGTGATGGTGGTATGGGAGATAGGAAAAAGGGAGGACCCCCGTCGAAAGCTGCTACCAACTAGCCTTGCCACTTACAAATTCCACACGAATCGAGCGAGATTACAGCCAAGGTATCCAGAACAGGAAGGTGGGCGGCCTGACCACTACACCACGGGAGGGCCCGCTCCACCCAACTGATGAGATCGTTCACATAGACTGGCTGTCTGCATGAAGCCCAAGGCAACGCAACATGCAAACCGCATGATTACCCGACGCAGAACACGTGGCGTCGCGGAGGCGGGGGAGGGGGAAGGGGGAGGAGCAAGGCGGAAGTAAGGACGCGAATACAGCACTTATACTTCGATTGGAACATAGTCAGGGTCTGTTGACGTAAATAAGCTGTTACGGTGTCATCCAATCGGGAGCGTGGATGACCCCTACAGTAGCGACGTTTAAGCTCCCGAATGGATGACACCGTGACAGCTGATCGAAAGTCAACACTCGGTAAATAAATAGAAGTATTGTGAGGTCTCAGGTGTACGACGTTACCTCTCCGTAATCTTACCTCCTAGGAGAATGATTATCTTAGACATTTGACACTTTTTCAATGCATTCTAAAAATTTTATTTTATTAGTGCCAAAAGACTTGTCAGCGTCTTTCCGGTAGATAAACATTGAGAAATAGAAATCTGGGTTTTAATTAGCTGAATTGTTGAAAACTTGAAAGCCCTGGAAAACGTCCAACCTTATTGTGAAGCTCTTCTCCCATTCCCGAATATTCCGCCTCCTGAGGTACGTTATAAGCCGGTTGGCAAATTCCGAAGGTCACTCCACTCGGATTCTGTACATTCACTGATTCCAAGAATGCACGGGCTGTTAACTCGACACCACACGACTGTGTCCGGCGAGACTCACCATGAAGTCAGGTTATGCTGGAGGAAAACATTCCACTCAATCTCATGATAGCACTTTGCGATGATAGAAAACTTTCAGAACACTTCAACTTAAAACAACGCGTACTTCTTTATGAGAGAACGAAAATCATACACTGATGATGATACTCTGGCGATCCAGTGGAAGTTTTTAATGCGTGAACTCAAGTGTATTTCTTTTGTATTCGGAGAAAGGCTTTTGACACAATGACAGTGAATACATGTATCACAAAAACTAATATTTTGTAAATGATTATAGTAAAGAATATATTCAGTAACTAGGGATGTACCTCGGGAAGGATCAAAATTACCCACTAAATTCGTTAAATATTATTTTATTCAATTTTTAACGCAGAAACAGAAACGTGGTATATGAGGTATATCGTGCCATAAAGAACGAACTGCGCAAAAGCAAAATATTAACCTCGTGTGTCCGACAGATTTCTGCAGGACATGCGATTCGCATAATAAGAAAGGCGGGAGCCTCATGACACTAAAGGTCCATTTATTGAGTTATCGATCGAAACAAGAGCTACAAAGCTTTTCAAGCGCACTTCCTTTCTCGTAACCAAGGAAACATCCGTTAGGAATCGGGGTTTGCTAAAGGCTGATCTACAAAGAAAATAAAGACATAAAACATGTCAAGTAATTGAATTAGGAGTTTCTGCTGCTTTATATACATAACTTTGCAGTTCACATAGAACTTTTGTAACAGTGTAAGGCTGATATGTAGAAATTCCACATTACCTCGAATTTCCAACTTATCTACACAGATGGTGCTTGATTACTTAATTTAGGTAAGTCGAACTTTTCTCCCTTTACATTCCAGATACCGAAGTTCCACTGTTGAACGTATTGCTGTTCATGCTAAACATTGGTGGGGCGTTGAAGGAATTTCAGGTTTAAATAAATCTTCTTAATGAATCTTTATCAACATATTTATTTATTTATTTATTTATTTATTTATTTATTTATTTATTTATTTATTTATTTATTTATTTCATAAGCAGCCATTATGTTCACAAAGTACTACTATTATTAGCTGTTATTTTTTTAAAAAAGCAAGTGAAATCTCTGGCTCCCAAGGGCAGATCTGAAACAAATTGTAAAACCCTTCGAAAGCTACGAAACATTTCAGTAAACGTGTCTGTGAAGACAATGCCTTTTATTCAAACGGCGCAGAAACACTAGAGAGAACGCGTGATGGTAAAGTACATTTAGTTGCTGATACCAAGGTCGTCATTCGGAGCCTAGGGCGGAGCAAATATCTTTCCCAGAAGTTGCACAGGCGCCCGTCACGGGACGCAGCCGCCGGCCAGGTGCGTGGGCCAGTACGCGTGCCGGCCTACCGCACCCCGCTCCGCGTGGACCCGCGCCGCCACCCTTCCCCTCCCGGGCGCTGCGAAGTAACAGATCAAAAGGCGCGACACATGAGCGGGCGCTCTAATGAGCTCGCGGACGCGATTCCCAGAAAGCGCGGCGCGCCCGACAGGTGCGGGGAGGAGGGCGCTGGGCGCGCGCCAGCGGCCGGGGCGGGGCGGGGAGGGGCGTGGAGGGGCGGGGCGGAGCAGGTGGGCGAAGGGCGACGCGCGACCGGGAGAAAGGCCAAGCGATCTCGCACGCGCAGCGGACCTCGCTGTTTTTATTGCATTTGCATACTGAAGAAATTCTTTTTCTGCATTTCATTAAGAAGACAACAACATTTTATTGGACTGTAATACTTCCACGCACTGCTGAGCAGGAATAATTTATTTTAAAGTGCGTCTATTGTGAACAATGTGCTTCCGCAATTCTATACTAAAAATCAAAGGGCATTTCCTACTTTAAAAAAAGCATGTGCAGAAAGAAAACACAACTGCAACAAGCGACGAAACCGAACTAAAAGAAGTGACACGCTATTTGCATTTCCTTACACGTCTACCAACCCAGATTACATCTCCTCCTAATGTACATTTGTGACCTTGTCGTGAACTTCAATACGATAAGAATTTTAGAAGCAATCGGACTGCGATGAATTGCCCTGCCTGACGACGAATCGAACGCGCCGAGAACAGAGATTGCGCAGCACTCGTCTGTGGAATGGTAAGAAAGAATGCGGTTACGCATTTCTACAATTCAAGTTCTATTTATTCTATTTTTAGGATTTCATATTTGTTTTATTCATTTAAAAAATGAAATATTGAAAATACCTTTAAAATCAAATAAGAGAAATTTGATTGGAATAATCAAAATATAATAAATCAAATGGTTATTTATATATGTAATAAAATCGTGTTTTAATTTGACGATAACAAGCGCGTAATTTTTTTCAGTTTTACAGATCTATACAACTGCCTTATTTTTCATGAAGTAATTAACCACTTTGCCAGAGCTAATGCCAACATTTCATTTTCCCAGAATGATAATTAGTTGTAATTCAACTGTGCAAATCTTCACTTTACGCACAAACATTCAATACTTTAACATTTAGCGGGCTCCCCAGAGGTCCCAATACTGATTTCAAAGTGTAAAAGTTAATAATAATAATAATAATAATAATAATAATAATAATAAAACGAGAAGAAAAACAGAGGGCGTTACGACACCGAAGAATAGTATTGCCCGAGATTTCCAATCGAGCACACCGCGAAGACAACGCAGAGGATCGGGTGAGAATCAGCCCGCGGCCCATTCGCCGGCAAGTTGCAAACCCGCGCTTTGCCCCGCGCCGCCGCCGGTCCTCTTCCAAGAAACGCGCGGCCGGGTGGTCAATATCCTCGGCGCCGCCGCCGCCGCCTGCTCCCACTTCCTGCTGAGCGCTTCCGCCACTTCCGTTCCGTTTGGAACTGCGCGTCAACAGGCGGTGGCCCCTCTGGCCTACAGGCCGAGCGGAAGCTCGGGCGGGGAACGGGCGCGTGGCCCGCCGAACTCAACCAGCTTCAACGATATCGAACACTGGCGCTTAGCGGAGCACCTCCGATTTTACGTATTCTCTTAATTAATTGTTCGATGTTTACTTGAATTAGAAGGTAACAAGAAATGACCAATTCCCACCAGGAGACAGACACGCGTCAAACGACACCTCGATTGGAGCAAACGGCGAGTCGAATGACGAACGAACTACGCAGGTTATCCCATTAATATAGGAAGAATGTAGCTGAACCCCTGCTCCCGTTACTATGAAAGTTAATTTTTCGTATTCATATTACAAGGAAGTTAAGGAGAACAATGATACTATATCATTCATGAGCGTACACACACACACACACACACACACACACACACACACACACACACATACACACATACACTCTCTCTCTCTCTCTCTCTGCAAACCCTTGACTGTTATCCTTTGTGAACGTGAAACATGAGAGGTGAACCGACATGTGTTTAAGCATTTACGGCAATGGAATACAATAATGAAGTATACAATTTGGGAAGATCATATCATACACTCATTCGACCACTAGAACACCAAATACCAATCCAGACCTGATCGCTGGACAACAGGGAACTAATGAAACCACGACTAGCCAAGCGCACATGCCAGATCCCGAAATGATCGTCGGGGGAATTTTCGCCGTTTGTTCTGCGCCGTGACATCGGACTTAACAAATCTTTTTTTATCCGCGTGCCCCCCCCCCCCTCTCGCTGCGCGCAGTCAAGAGCGCCGCGTGCCTTTCCCCTGCTCGCTACGGTATTCCAACAAGGTTATTCCTGCTCTATGGGCAACTTGCAACTAAGCATCTGCGCGCGGCATCGTCGAATTGTTTTATTGTACCTCACTAACAGCAAGGATGGCAATTTATTAGTAACAAACATAAAAGAAAAGTTACAAATTAGCCTCGAAGCGAATAATTATCATTCCTTACGAGAGAGGGTGTGGCTGAAAGGTTACTCTTGCTTTACTTACAAGGAATGTACATAGAAATGCGAGTATACCATTCGTAGTAATGCAATACTGGCCATACATTTATTGAATCCTGATACACCATCCGAGAACAAAAATAACAATAGTCAATCAATGCCCTCTCAAGACACCTGCAACTAAAATTTAATTCAAACAAGAACTACGTTTTCATTCCAATACAGAATTGCACTGCAATGTGAAATTATAGTATGGTAATGGCAATGGCAATGTATTGAAAAGGAGAGAAAATCGAAATGACCAACGCTGAACTATGTTATTTATCCGAAACCTTTCCCTTGAACAAATAGTGAAAATTGAAATTTAAATCTGGAATTTCTTGTTCAAGATATTTAGCCCGGCATATATTACTACCCTATTATCACACTCAGAAAGCATCACCTTCCAAACTTAACTAGCCACAAAAGAGCAATATGGATTGGTGTGCTGGCACAATCAACGTATCACATATCACCCCCCGTGAGGGACCACATATACGAATCACTCTTGGGGAGCTTTTTTTCAAAACATATAATTTTGACACTCACTTGTGGGTTCCTCGCTTACGGCCTCCGCAAACTTTTCCCTCCGCAGCGGAATCGCACGTGGCAGGCAAGGGCAAATATGCACACCCACGTCGGAATTCGAATCCGCGACCCTTCGCACCAACTATGCATGCACTAACAGCCTCATTCAAGAAAGGATGAAATAATTGGTCATCTCAATCGGCAATTATTTCATCCCTTATTAACGTCAACTCATCAGCATGTTGAAAAGCAATACTAGTACGAGGAAAACCATGTTTAATGTCGATCGGTTCTTGGACAATATATTAGAAAAATGTACGGAGTTACCTCATGTATCGTATTTTGGATGCATAAGTCACTGACAAAATAACCGACCAAAAAACGTGGAAACTCCAAATTCCAAGGTGTAAAAATCGCTGGCAGTGTCTCATCCCGCAATATCAGCCACTTGCCAGAATGAGTCACCCAGTAACTGTGTTCGCGTCGTTAAGAGGGCGCGGGGACGTGGCCGCCCCGTCTCCGCGATGACAGGTGCTCCGCGCCATCGGGCACTGCCTCCGCCGCGACCCGAGTTATTCTCGCGAGCCACAGCGGGGCTTCTTCCAACTGCGTACGAAGATCCGGGGGAGGCGACTTGGGGTCACCGGCTCTCCGATTGCTCGGCAACTCACCGGCGCACCCACCCGCGCCGCGGGCGCAACGCAGGCGGCTCCGCACGGCGTCCTGGTCTCGCGGATCACGGGGAAAACACCACACGGGCAATTATGTCACAAGCTGGCACCATTTACTTCGGTGCTAGGGGCTTCCCCGGAGTAACAAACATTCTGGTGTCAACAACACAGAACACAGCTCGGGTAACAGCCGCTAAAGCAGAGGCCATACTAAATGCATCTCGACGTAGAAATGGTAAATGAAACAACGCACTAAACATCAAACATAATTCAGATTTATGCTGTATTACGAAGTGTTTATTCACTGAACCATGTACAATAAATTAATTGAACATTGCATATTAGGTATTATTTTGCAAATTATTGTTCTTTACGTTCTGGCTCGTAATATTGAATCTGAAATATCGATTTTTTTAAAAAAAAATCTTAAACCTTCAGTTTATATACATTTAGAATGACCAAGAATGCATTCAGTACGATGTTAAGAGAATATCGATTTTGAGTTTCTAATAAAATGTCATTTCCTTGAACAAATATAGAATGTGCACGATCCTCCTTCCACTTCCAGTCCCTCTCCCTTCCTTACCCCTCTCCATTCAGCACATCTATCATGTACTCAAAAGATGAAGGATGAGAAGGGAGATGAGGAGTAGGAAGAGATTGACGTAGAGGGAACAGGCGGCGAGGGGAGATATCGAGGCGGGAGAGGAAGAGGAGAATGAGGAAGTGGCGAGGGGAGAAGTGGTGGTGGAGCTACCGAGCGTCCAGAAACCGCAACTCCGCCTATCTCGCGCGCGAACACCTTTGGCCGGCCCTCGCCGCCGGCAGGGGCTGCGGGTTGCCTCACCGGGCGGCGCGGCGCGGCGAAGCTCACAAAGCGCGCGCCGCCCTCGGTCTCGCGCAAGCGGCGCGGGTGCGTCATCGCCTTCGCTTCTCCGCGCGCCACAGCCGGTTTCCTGATCCGCGGAATGCAGCCGGCACAGCGCCGCGCCGCGCCGCGCACACCTCTCACTCGCAGCGGCCGCACGCACGCGCCCTCGCCCGTTTAAGTCCTCGAACGCGGCAGAGCCCTGTAACCGCCACCGATGGGTAGCCGTCAAAAGGTGCCACTGTATAATACACTCGCTGATCTTCGCTCTAAGGGCTTTTGCTGATCTACGTTGTCGCAGTCTTCGCTTCGCTAACCAAGTATCTCGCATTCACTAGCTTGCTCGCGCCAGACGGCAAATTGACAATCGCTTTCGTTAGATCGGCTGCAGCTCGAACAACAAAACGAAGCAGTAACGAACAAAACAAGGAGATAGGCATTCATTTTATTAAGATAAGTCTGGTACAACAAAACCGGTTAATAAGACCAACGGAAGACACTTAGGAGTCACTACCTGTCATTTCAAGAACGTTTTGTTATGTACAAAGCTCATATGATTACAAAAACAAAAACATTTAGTGTTTTAAAAATTCACACAGAATCAGCAGAAGAGCGCGCCAGTTAATTCCGCGATGTGTGTTTTCGTCAGAGTGGTCTACAATAATACAGGGAGTGCGAGAAGATAAACGTGGGAGTGTTCTAGAAAGTTTCCTCTCCTAGAACATCCACGACTGTTTGGCCACGTTTATCGCCGGGATCGGCAAATGCTGGATTAGTAGTCGGCGTTGTTTTTATTTCACTCAACGTAATCTGCACACCGTCAAATTTCGTAGGATCTTTTCAGTGTCGTTTCCAAAATCACACGGACGAAAAAACAGTATTTTATTGTCTTCTCTTAACAGAATACGATAAATAAATCAATAATGCAGAAAGTTTTTTTTATTTACTTTACTATTAATGCTTTGAATATTATTACGCAATATCTTCTATGAGAACAGAGGTAAGTGTGTCTTCAGGAGACGAAACACCCACTGATGGCAATTAAAAATATTACTTCCTTCAGCAATTCAATACAGTATCGACATATTTTGAGAAAGAAAGGGCAGGAAAGAGTAGGCAAGAACGTAACAATGAACATGGGAAGCGATAATTGTATGGTTTGGTAATGTAAACTCCAACATCTACGTCACACTATGGACTTAAATGGACGTAACTGCGGTTCTACGAGGGGTTAGCTTCTCAACCACATTCCTTCACAAAAAACATTGCTTTCGAGTATACTACATCCATTCTGAAATGGAACCCTCCGACCTCGCACAGGAGCCTCGTCGTGGCCGCTGGTGCGTTAGTGTGTCGCGACGGAAGGCATCCTTGGCCGAGAGAGCGCGCCCTGGCACCTGCAGCCGTCTCGGACGCCCCCGCCCCCGCGGAGACGCCCGTCCTCCTACTTAATTTCCGATTTCGCGCCAGGGAATCGCGGGAACGGCGTGCTCCAGCGGTGACGCATCACTCGCGAGGCTGCGGTAGGACGAAGATCCGCCAGAATAACCTGAAAGAAATTTGCTTTCAAACCGTAAAATTGTGCGAATTACTCCAAAACAACTAATGAAAAAAGGGGGGACACGACTAATAACAGCACAATAAACAAGTTTAACAGCGTAAATAACTTGAGTAGAACACCTTTTTAAGGTTATGTTAACTTTTCCAAATAACTCAAATGAAGTTCTACTCTTGACACTTAAAACGATGAAAATAAGATTTAAGATGTATACACTGTATACTCATATTTAGAGTGACATTTCAAGGTAACGAGCTGGAAAGACAGTGGGGACGTTTTTATCCATTCAGAAGCTCCAAAATCAAATGTTTAATTCATAACGAAGCTTCCGACTCACTTTAAATCGAAGTATAATGTAAAATTTTCGACCTTTTATTAACGTTTCTCTTATGATTGTAGAAAGAACAACTAAGTGTAATTGGAGAAACAACAAAATGCATATCAATATGAAACACACGTAGGAAACTATCCTGTATGACGGGTGACCAACTTGCAAGCCCTCAAGGGCCACAACTAACTTTTAATATGTTAGCAGGCCATATTTACATTACCCGGGCGATTCACACCTGACTTCCCTCCCCGTAATGTTGATCTCGGCAGTTGGTCTGTCTGCTTTATAGAATATTAGAACAGTAATGCTTTATGTCCAAGAAGACCATGGAGATACTCAGACGTTGAACACTTTCTTGAAAACAAACTGCAATGTGTGTCGTCAAAAACGTAACAAGTGTAGACTTAAATCTAGCATTTTACGATAATGCACACGTGCTTTCCAGCCTATCGCTTAATCATTACATTTATTATACTCTACATACATCGGACTCACAGCGCATGAACGCACGTAACAGGAGAATCCAACGAGGGTAGCATTATCGCCATTACGCCGCGAACAAAGAGACGATAGCGCTGCCAACAATCCACATCCAAGGCTGTTGGCGGGTGGTGTGTGGACGGGGGGGGGGGAGGAGGAGGCCCGCTATTCGCCGGACGCGTAACGTTCCCGCCCCGCATCGCCCGTCCGCGGCGCCGCCCCATTAACTTCGCTGCAAGGTAAACAAACCATCGGGGCCCAAGATGAGAATGCCCCACGGGAACTCTACCATCGGCGCCCACACGGATGACCCTTGGGACAGCGGACTCCACCCGTTGGATTTCTGGAGCCACACTTCACACGCGACGTGCCACAAGGACTCGCATTCATTTCCCCAAAATGGAACTTCAGGATCAATGCTGAGCAACTCGACTACGCGAATGACAATATAACACACAGCTCGCTAGTCGTACTTTATTGCCTGATTTTATGACTTCATTCAATGCGAACACCGAAGAAGATAGAAGATAGGCTCAGAACGGAAAGAATTGCAGTCACCTCAAACCCTGCAAACAAACCCTAGGATACATGGAAGTGTGTTAAGATTATTATTATTATTATTATTATTATTATTATTATTATTATCATCATCATCATATTCATCACCACTCCAGTCACATAGTATGTAAATTGGGACAAGATTCAAAATTGAAGAGCTAAATATTTAGTCCTAACTTGAAGACTATTAATTCTATAAATTATTATTTATCAGAACAAAACTTTCAAGTAAACGTTTTTTCTTCAAACTTCTTGGCACTGAATGCAGTACGTAAGCTATTGCTACAATCAAGCAAAAAATCTCAGCTCGCGGCTTCTCATTAGTCATTTTTGTGTAATGAGCGCATTGCATGTTGGAAGCACATTGTCCAAGAGATCTTGTTGCCAATGACGTTATTTTAATATCAAGGTACAGAAACACGCCAAAGACGGTAATGTTCTCTCCACACTACTCTACAGCCAACCGTTTCAGAAAATGTCAAGAGTAATTACATTACGCAATTAACAGAATCTTTAACATATCCGGCATTTACACAAACATCAGAGAAGTGCATTTGCAACTGACTTGTAACATCTGAATGTAATGCAAAAGGAAGATTAGTACCGAAACATTACATTGAATAAATTTCAACTCTTGCATCAGTTGAGAATTTAATAGCATTATCATTTTTAATTCCGTCAAGACTTGGAAAGCGGAAGCTCCGAAACAGATTGGAGGTCGAATGGAGGTTGATAGATAGGGTCAAAATTACATTTCAGCTAAGGTATTTCAACTTTTTTTTCTTTCGATATTATGTCTATGTACAATGCGATATATCACGAAAAGCATTACCGTAATGGGATGAGCAGAAGTAGCTGACTATGGGTCTTACAATCACATACCGTAGCGTAGGAGTGAGGCCAGAAATGCTCATGATAAGGGGCAGAAATACACGCAATATCAAAATAATTTAATCAACGCAGGAAAACCCACACGAAAATCGAGCTGTTAGAGAGCAGGTGGTTTTCGGAATATGGAATCAAACGAATAACCAGATCACATTTTACCTTAGCAGCAGTAAAAGCAACTCGCATGGAATTCTGAAGAAAGGTTAACAACTTTAGAACGTACGATACCATATTGAAAGAACATTAATTACACATTTTAAACGACCAGAAAGTATTACTTTTGCAGTTAGAGAAACAGCACCAACTCTCCGAATCATCTTGTATTGTTATTCCCACAAGGGTCTGATTTCCTGACTCTGCATTGTAATCACTTACCGGTCTCCAGTAACAGGGTGGTAAAGTCCGAAGCAGGATTGTGTATTTATTCACATATTTCTAAAGCGCATGTAGAGAAAAAGTAATAGGACGAGAAGTAGACCCGTTTCATTCTTATGCGTTTTTTTTTTTTTTGACAGTACATCTTTCAGAATTTATTTTCTCTGTTAATGTTTGAGATCTATAATGTAAACAAGCAGCATGTAGAGTAAATTTTAAAAAATGTAACAAATGTACAAAAGTGATAATACATACAGAGTAGTTCGTAGTACTTCTCATCTCGTGGTCCGAGAAAATATTATAGTGCCAAGGAAAGCAAGCAGGTGGCTGACATATTTTCTTACAAGCGATAAGGAAAATAGTTGCAGCGCTACCAACGGCAACGTTTTGAAGATGGTAGGCAAACGTATTAGTGGATGTGGCAAGCGGTACGCCGACGGTCATCAAAGCAACGCGTCGGAAACCTTGAGAAAGTGAATGGCGCAGATACAGAAAAGAGAGCACCAAATGAGCATGGCGCCAGCAGACGCGATAACACGAGAGGGGGAATGAAAGGACGGGAGGCAAACAGACGGAGAGGAAGTACGAAAACCAAGAGCGAAGCGAACAACAACAGTGAAGAGGCGCCGCCGCAGGGGCGAGCTGAACCATCGATCCGCAGCGCATGCGGCGGCCGCGTGCGCGGCGGCGGCGGCGGCGGCGGCGGCGGCGACTGCGTCAGCCCGCCGTGTCCGTGGGGGCCGCGGGTGGGCGGCGGGAGTGGCGGACGCCACCGCCGCCACAAGATCCGGCTCGCGCTGGCACGCGCCCTGACAGCTCTCGAGGCGGCGGCGGCGGCTATTTTCGCGCTGCCAAAAGCGCACT